ATCTGCTTTCATTGAGATGCATTAGTTTAGTCAGGAGCTTGTGGGCTAGAAGAAAAAATTGCTTAGTGATCTTTGGCTCGATCATGCAGCGAGCTGGAGCAGATCCTAAAGCACCCTAATCTTCATATGTACGAAGTGGGCAGAAAGTTACCCTCGTGTTGTGCTAAGATAATAGGAAACTGACAACTGCCTTGATTTTCCTATTTTTGAAAATGTGTTTAGAATGTGGTTTTTGAGTTTACTTTTTGTTAGTGCTTGAGAAGATGGCTAAGTGAAAAGAAGCCCCTCAGTTTACAATTACATGATAGCTACGAAGAAAACTTATTTTAATTGCAGGCAGCTGGTGGCTGCTTTTTATTCCTTTTAAATGTTTGTGTAGTTTGTCTTAATTCATAAAAGAGAGCTTATTTTTACCCTGTATTAATCATTAACTCTTCATTAACCATTTGTACTGGAATTTTAAACTTCTTTATAGGATGTTTTAGTATATGTAATAGGAAAGATTGGATGTGCTGGAGGTGTTTAGGGGAAATACCTGTCCACTACCACCGGTTCATTCCAGTATGGCTAAAACTAATACTTGATACAGCCACGGCTCCAGGAGCACTTTCTGCAGTTTTTCCAGACTCCTAGCAATGCACAAGCATCGTTAAAATGTCAGTAGGATCAAAAAGTTGAGAAGATAGTGTGCAGCATGGTTTTAGTACATCATCTTCAGCTTCCAGAAAATGTACCTGTTTTCAAACAGTCAGCAATAACTATCAAGGGTTTTAGAAAACCTAATTTGTTAATTAAGTGTTTATTTACTAATGCTGTTAATTCTGTAGCCTGAAAGTACGAGTTTTCTACCACAGGCCTGCCGTGCTGCCTTCCCTTGCCACTTCAGATTTTATATTTTGCCTTTAGATTTTTTTTTTTTAAAGTTATTTTAACCTCAACTTTGGTGTTACTCACAGCTGGTCTAACAGAGCTCCCTTGTCTGGGTCAGCCCTGCTCCAACAGGATGTCTTGGACATGGGATTCTCCTTGGTGTCGATTTTATTTGGAAAACAGAGGTTTGTGTTCATCTCTGCAAGTGTTCTTAAACAGCAGAGCGGGGAGCTGGCCTGGTTGTGGTAAATAAGACTCCAAAATAGATGTATTTATTTAATGGGAATGTCGTCTTCCATGTCAGAAAACAGCAAGTCTCTGTTGAGCACGTGAAACTTAGAAGGGGGACTGTAATTCAGGGCTTTTGTGCAGAAAACACAGCTCTGGTGTTCTCCCTGACGCTGGATGATTTGAGTGTGCTGGAGCCCCAGGGTCATCACGCAGCTCAAAAAATTATGCTGTTAATTTTTACATCTTTGTGTTCTGGCTGTGGGCTGGCTCTGCAGACTGTACGGTGGAAGTTGCAGGTGCAAGCATCAGGGACCCTCTTTTTTCCAAGGATAATTCTGCTGGGATTGGTTGCAAGTATGGGACACAACCTAGAGGATGGAACTTGATCTGACTCGCCCTCCGTGTCGAGGGGATAGGATGTGGTGTCAGGGAAACGATTGGTGAGGACTGAAGTAACTTTTGTGTTGATACGCTGGTAAAACGTGTCCAAGTGAGCTGTGGGTTTGTTTCTTTAATAAATGAGTAAAGTCTTTGAGAGGGATATGTGAAGTCAGAGAGGTAAAAATAGTGCTACAGAAGAAGCTGTCTGACTCCAATTTCCAAGTGACAGAATAGTGCCATTGCTCCCATGTTACTGGGTGTTGTTTTGTGGATGCGATATAAATATTCTGCGGCAGAACTGACTAATCCTCCAGCCCTTCTGTTGTGATCCAGATTAAATAAATGAAACTCAGAAGTATCATTTAGATATTAATATTTTACAGTGCATTAGAGCCAATGTTCAGAGCATTGTCTGGAGCATTCTCCTATTTAAGGGGAATTCATCAAAAAAGATGGAATATTAAAAAAAAAAAGTCTTTAAGCCGTGGCAGTTGCCTTCAGAATTAATTAAAGGCTACACACTTTTGGTGCAATCTGTCTATAACAGCTGTGTTGTGTGCTAGCAGTGAGCACGGAAAGCAGAACGGTTCAGTAAATCCACCAAGAGCTCAGTAGTGTAGCCTGTCAGGAAACCATCAGCTTTAAATGTAGGTTATCCTCCCTCTTCCTGTCCTCCCGGAGATGTTGTGATGGGCTTAACTGCAGACCGAGAAATAGAGAGGCAGCAATGCTCGTGCTTGGGAAATAATTTGGAAAATTGAATCAAAAGACATCGCTGGCTTTTTCCTCTTGATTTTCGGGAAGGACGGGAATGCTTCTAACTACTGATAGCTCCACACACACTTTTTTTTCTAATGCACGTGTTTGTTCACCTAGCAGTAATTGCGAGTTCATTTGTTAGTGGCTCTTCAGCAAGGAACAAAGAGTGCTGTATTGGGTGTTTGCACATCGCTCACAGTGATGAGAAGTGGCTTGCAGAACATGCTGTTCCACCCATTTTTTGTCTTCTCAGCTGCCCTCTGTTCTCCTCGAGCCATCAGGATTAGATAGTAGCTTCTTACCTGGAATATTTATGGTAGGAATAAAATTACTTAATAAAATTACTTCTCAGGGGATATTGGCAAGTGCAATAATAGCTTCAGGCCAGAGCTTTGACCATAGCAGGATCTGCTTTTGATTATGGTCTGCAGGAATGTAGGGCTAGCTGCTTTTCCATCTCTTCACCAGTACAGGTGCTCCAATAGGTCAAATGCTTCCTGTGAAACGTTAGGGATAGATTCATCTGTGGATCACAGAGCTTGGAAAAAGATCTGTGTTGCAAGAGCGGTGTCACACACCGGGTTCAAGCACTGCTATGAGCATTTGTTCTGCCCTGGTAGTTGTCAGCAGTGGGCAGATCAGAGCCTTGCAGCTTGCAGGCATGACCTCTAGCCAGAAAGGCAGTATTTCAGAACTCCGAAATTTCTAAGACATGATGAATTTACTGTGTAATTGCTGGCATAGGAAGGTTGCATTAGGCGGAAAGAAGATTACAGATTCTTGTAAGTGGTGTAGTGTAATGATGGCTTTGATCTGGGAACAGCTGAGAATCACAAGACTCTCCTCTGTGTGTCCGTGTGGCTCTGTCACAACACAGTCAAGCTCCTGCTGGTGGCTGGCCACCAGCCTATTGTTTTGTTCCCAGGCATCTTAGGCTTTGAACCTGAGGAGACTCGAGACAGAGCTGCACGGCGAGCCATGGGGACATCTGCATGATGGCCGTGCTGAGGTAGCACAGCAGTCATATGGTTAAGAAGCTCCTTGAATAAAGTATTCTCCAATAAAAATGGGAAGAACGCATAAAAATAATTCAGGTGTTGCATTTGAGGCAGCACATCCAACTGATGTGAGCTGGAGGTGATACAGTTAAGCGAGAGCTCCATCCTTCACACTGTGTCTGCTGGCTGGCTTTGCAGATATCCCTCAGCACATCCGAGATAAAATCAGCCGCGTGATGAGGACCTCTGTCAGGCCCTGCAGCTCTCTCACCACCCTGGGAAGAGGCGCCAGGGCTGCTTCAGGGCTGTGAGCCACGCTGGGTGAAGCAGAGGGCGTTAGCAGCTGAGAGCAGAACACAAGGTGTCCATTAGGAGGGCAAACAAAAGCCCCAGTGTGCACACAACCTGAACACCATGCTGGTACAGTGCGCGTCGCAGGCTGCGTGCTCTGGGGGAGAGCTGCCAGCCTGGGGCCAGAAACCCCACGTGTGGCTATGTCCTGACAGCGCTGCCTCCTTACCTACAGCAACCGTGTGAAGTGGGGCTTGTCCAGAGCTTCACAAAGCCAATATTTAATAATGCGTTGTGTTTATAATACCTTCCATCCGCTGGATTTCCCAAGGGGACTAATCCTCTCAGCCGGTCTTTTGGTAGAGCAAAGATGCCTGTTTTACTGACAAAGGAGCTGGAAAGCAGCACTGTTTTTTGTTTTGTTTTTTTTTTTGGTTGGTTGGTTGTTTTTTTTTTTTTCCAATAACAGTGAAATAAGTTACTGTTTTCACCATTGCTCTGTGTTTTCTGCCTGCTGGGTGTTGTGCAGAACAAGTGAATGGCACGGTTGGTGTGTTTGCGACCAGTCAGGTAAAGGAGTACCCCAGCATTTACAGCTGGGCTCGGTCTCTTGAAATGCTGCAGATCGTTTCCTTTCACCTCTCTGCTTTTAAGCATCTCTGGGCTAATTGCACTTTGAGCTTACTGAGAGGACCCGAGAGGGATAGTAGGAGGGAAGTGACTAATTTTCTTTGCTTTAACTACAAATTTAACATTGTCCCTGAGGAGCTGAGTTGCCAAAACGAGCGCAGGGATTACAGGGCAGTTGTGGAGGAGCTGGGGACATGGTGGACTGGTTTTTAATTGGGATTGAAGATACTCGGAAGAGAAGCACCAGAGGTCTGGCTTCCCAGGTCTGTGCAATGCCCACACTGCCCCACGCGCTGGTGACAGAGCCACATGCCCAGAGGAGGCTGTTGATAGCCGTAAGTGTGATGAGAGAGAGAAGAAGGATTAACTATTTTGTTTTCTCGAAATATAAACTTCACGTTAGATCAAACACAGAACAAAGGAGTTGTTGGTTTTCTCTGTATCGGATCCCAGCTACAGCTTATTTAAACAATGGTCCTGCAGGTTGTGTTTGCCTTGGACGGCGGTTTGTTTTCCTGTGGTGCTGCTCGTTAACAATGCCTACGGTGTGCGGGATGGCGTAGGAATGCGGTCCTGCCCTGGAGAACTTCCAATACGGCATCGTTGGGCAGAGTTGTGAAGGAGTCTGGTTAAATATCCCGCGATTTCTGATGGTGAAAGAGTGGTGGCTTCAGTTCAGTGTCTGAAGCACGTTCTGTGACAGCACAGATAGGACCCTCCTCCTCGGGTTACCTCCCCGGACTGATGAGTCTGTGCTTTGTGCTGGTTGTTCGGTGGGTTTGGTACATGTTCTGGCCTTCTGGTTTCAGAGGAGTTCTAACAGCTTTTCCTCTCTTGCAGAGCATTTACCATGCCTCTGGGAACGTTCTTCCTTCCTGTTCTCTGTTTCCTGGGAGCAGCGATCCCGAGGGGGCTGCAGTACGTCACGTTCTCGCGCAATGCTACGAAATTCCTCCACCTGTCCATGGACTTGGAGTCTGGCTCCATTTACCTGGGGGCCACCAACTTTCTCTTCCAGCTGACATCTGACCTGCTGATGCAGAACGTGGTTCAAACCGGGCCGGTTCTGGACAGTAAAGACTGCCTCCCCCCAGTCTCGAGGCTGGAGTGCCCTCAGGCCCACCACACGGACAATCACAACAAGCTGCTGCTGGTGAACGCGGTGCAGAAGGAGCTCATCGTGTGCGGCAGCGTGCACCAGGGGATCTGCGAGAAGAGGAGCCTCGCGTCCATCGACCACGTCCTCTTCCGACCGGAGAGCCCTGGCGACACTCAGTACGTTGCTGCCAACGACCCCAATATCACCACCGTGGGACTCGTGGCCTACTCGAAGGATGAGGTCCCTTTGCTCTTTGTGGGACGAGGGTACACGAGCCGAGGAGTCGGAGGAGGGATTCCTCCCATCACTACCCGAAACCTCAGGGCCCACGGTGGGGATGTCCAAGCAACAGACTCTCACTCCATTTTCTCCTATGAAGAAACAGCTAAACTGGCCGTGGGCCGGCTCTCCGAGTACAACCACCATTTCATCAAATCCTTCACGTATCGCTCCAGCGTCTATTTCCTCTTCTACCGTCGGGATCTCAAGTCTCAGTCGCGTGAGTACAAGACCTACATCTCGCGGATCTGCCTGGATGACTCCCATTATTACTCGTACGTGGAGCTGCCCCTGCTCTGCCAGAGCAAAGCCAACACCTACAGCCTCCTGCAGGCAGCCTACGTCACCCGGCCGGGGAAGGACCTGGCCCAGGGGCAGCTGGACACTGACGGAGAAGTGCTCTTTGCAGCCTTCTCTGCCTGGCAGGCTTCTTCTGGCAAACTGAGCGAGGAGTCTGCGCTCTGCGTCTACGCGATGGAGGAGGTGGATCGCCTGACCAACTGGACCAGGGACGTGTGCTACATGAGGGATGGGAAGTCAGAAGAAGGCACAGAAGTGGCATATATCGAATACGATGTCAGTTCCAACTGCGTCCAGCTGCCAGCGGTAAGTTGCTTTGCACCTTTGCCAGGGTAAAGAAAAGTCTGCAGTGCATTCTTTGGGTCGCTTTGTGTTCCTGGAGTAAGTCCATTTCCCACAGACCTCTGATGAAATCTGCAGGGGTTAAAACCCTCTGGGCTCGCTGTTTCCTTGCTGCTGCAGCAAGGCGATGCAAGAACCACTGCTTCCAATTCAGGTCTGTCTCATCCCCGCTGCAGGGGCACATGGGCAGGGTTTGCTGGCAAAGGGAGGCACGCTGTGCGTGGCAATGGGGAAGGCATCTGGTGAGTGCTGAAGCTACAGTTCAAGTTGTTCTTAATATCTTCATGTCCTGGTCTTCTGTGCTGCAGGGAAAGAAAGGAGAGAATGTGTGTGTGCACTTGTGGGTTAGGGAGGGGAGTTAAAGGGGTGTGCTGTTGCTTAGGGTGAGGTGCATCTTGCAACAGCTTCTTACAAAGGGCATAAGTAAAAGAAAGAGCCAACAGAATCCTGACTTCCTAGAGACTGCATTAGCCCCACAAAATGTTGTGCCCAAGGAAAGCTTTTTCCAGACCTGGTTCTTCTCCAGAGCAGTAAGAAAATGATTATCCTCTGCACAGGCAAAACTTTTAAATTCTGTGGCAAAGGCATGACGGGATGTTGCAGGATAAAAATGTGAACTCAAACTTGGCTGTGACCCTGAATCCTTGCAGTTTGTCAGCCACGCTGGCTGGTGCTGTGACACTGGGGACAGTGACACAGACATAAACCAGCAGTGTTCTCTGGGGGCAGTGTCCTGGCGTGAGGCTCTGTGCTGGTGAGTAACCTGTTTTCACCGAGGGCGTTGCTGGTCCCTAGCAGAACAGCATGTTTTCTTGTCTTCCTTCTCCAGAACAGGCTGTCCAGATACCTTCCTCTTCCCAGCATCCCGCAAAGTGGTACCGCAGAGTCATGGAAATCTCTGGAATTGGATGTGCGGTCCAAAACCAGTTTTGAAATTATGGTTTTCCGTTTGGCAGCTAAAGCAGACTGTAGAATACTTGTGGGACAGCAGGAGGGTAAAGAGCAGACTTGGAGCAGGACAAATGTAAGGTCAGGAGGGATATGTAAGAGCTGGGAAGCAAGAGGCTGCCTGGGACTCAGTGTCCTGCTTTCACTGTCTCCTAGCCGTGTCCCATCTGTCCCCTGTGGGCCAGCATGGAAGGAATTGTCACCGGGTTTAGGGCAGATTGGCAGAGTTCACGTCAAAGTCGGTGAGCAGCTTAGGAAATCCTTCATTCAGCAGGACGTGGAGTCCCCCTGCACCGTACGATCTGGTGGGGAAGTGGGTGCACGGGGTGGGAGAAAAAGCCAGTCCTTGCTGCGTGATTCCTGGCATGCGATCGCAGGGTCCCAGCTGCACAGCTTGGCGCTAGCGGGCTGACTAAACTAGAGCGTCTTATTAACAAGTGTGGCCAATGATATGTAAATGCCCTAACAAACTTTATCCCTCCCCATTCAGTACCCGGTAGCGGTTGTCGTTCAGATTGCATCTAACAACACGCGAGGGGCTGTGCCAGCTCCAGCCCGCTCCATTCAGGGCTGAGTGGAAGCGGCTGTCAATGAGCATTTTATGCAGGAGCGGTTTTAACTCACTTTCAATAGCGGCAGCTTGTGCTTTATATGAGAATAATGCTAATTAATTTCACGTTTTTCTGCCTCCAAACCAGCCTGTGCACAAGGTGTGCCCTTTTCCCCAGTTAGCACTGCCTCCTGATTTTTAGGGCAATGGGAGAGGCTGACGCTGAGTTTTACAGTACAATATCTTCAACTGGAAAAATGCTCGTTTTTATAAGAATTTCAGAACCAGCTCATTTGTTCCAGTTTGCTGGTGATCTGAAAGTATATACAGTTTTCCATTAGTCTCTGGATGCAGGAGACTGTGTAGATGCTGTTAGTGCCTCGATAACTGGGCGTGCGAAACAGGTTCCTGCAAGGCTTGACAAGGCTCCTATCTTCTCTGGGTGTAGTTTTCAAGATATGCAACTTGTCCTTTCGCACCGAGCTTTCAGCCCTCGTCATGCATCAATACAGGTTTGTCCCATCGTCGCTTCTCACGCGTGAGCTGTAGGAAGCACACACCAAAATTCATGACAGCAGCTTCAGTCTGGGCACTCCAGACGTGCTGCGTCACAGTGGGATGCTGGGCGATCCCTGCAGTGTCTTTTCTGCTGCACTGCCAAGATGTTATTCGCTGAAAACAATTCATAGAGCTTCTATGTAAATTTATATAAGCACTTTATACAATTATCATGGTCTTAATCCCGTGGCATGGAACAAGTTTCAGCTCTTGACTGTGATTAACTGCGCTGCCGATGGTCCCGGCGAGGCCGTGGGCAGGCTGTGCCAGCACGGGGAAAGCTCACACAAGTCACGTTGTTCTATAGCAGATAACTGCTACGTGTGAAGTGACTTGCCCTTGGCATCACACATGGGCAGCAGCAGTGCTGAGCACAAACAGGCTGCAACTATTTCTGTCTTGTATCCGATTTTTTAAGCACACTTTGTAAAATCAGCCTCAAGTAGTAGGGTTGCTAGGCTCCAGCATTTGTCTAAATTGATACAAAGCTTTCAGAAGATACCTAGAATCCCATTCAGAATAAAGGCTTGATGCTTTTGAGTGTGTAAATTTGGCTGTGACTCCCTTCCTATTAGAACTTACAGGGACTGGACAACTGGAGAAATAAAGTCTTGAAAGTAGCAGGAGGTGATTGGAAGGAGTTTAAGAATTGAGCAACAGTGATGGTGAGAAAAATATATGTCACTAAAATAGTGAGGAGGGGAAAAAGTAACAACTATTAAAAGTCATAACCTCCTCTGAGGCTTTAAGTCAGAGCCTCACACCTAGTATGCAGAAAATTGGTTGAATTAATGTTTGAAAGAGAAGCAATAAAACATCAGAACCCGAGTGGTGCTGGTCGAACTAGCATGGTTTCCTGGGTGGCACTGCTGTGTCACACCCCTGCTTACCTGTTACGATAGAAATGCACTTGGAAATGAACACAAGTCAGCAGGCTACGTATCTTACCGTGGAATTTCCATAGACTTTGTCAAAAGCTTGTGATCATTTTTATTTCCTCCTGGAAGCAGTCAAGTTTTTAGAAATACAGGAATAAACCAAAATTGGAGGAGAATAGAATGACCCACGGTGGGGCCAGCTCCTCTGCCTGGTGCCAAGCGGGTTTGTTATTTAGGGCAAAAAAGAAGCATAATGGAATATCTTCTTTCTGCACATACAAATAGTAAACAAGCTGGCACATACAACCAGTAAATAAGTTGGCAGCTCTTATTCTCTTTCCTTTAGAATTCAGTACCAGACGGTTTGGTCAGGCTGGGAGGGAGCTAGCTGGAACAGAAGGCTGACTGTTTTTGCACAGTGCTGTGGAGTTAATTTTCAGTAATCTAACATAGCTCGGAAGAATTGAAGCAGTGTGCGGAGATGACTTGTTTTGTCTTTCTGTGGGTCTGTATCTAGCTGCATGCAGCCTGCAGGTTTTATGTGCAAGAGCTTTGGAGCAGGCTGTGCTCCTGCCTGTATTTACATATGTCCTGGTACCTGGGGAGTCTACTTCAGAATTGTATCTATTTTTTTGTACTGATTTCCCTGTTCTCTTCTCCCCCCAAAAGGACACCCTGTATGCATACCCCTGTGGCTCTGACCACACTCCCAGCCCCATGGCCAGCCGGGTACCCTTGGAAGCAGCCCCCCTCCTGGAGAAAACAGATGCCCGACTGACAGCCGTGGCGGTGAACGTGGAAGATGGCCACACCATCGCTTTCCTGGGAGACAGCAGAGGGAGACTGCATAAGGTATGATCTGGATGCAACAGGAAGCAAAGAGGATAAAACCCGATCAGGGATGCTCAGGCAGAGGGGGCAGGGAAGGCAGCTTCACTTGTCCACCAATTCCTTGCCTACTAAAAGTCATTACAATCAGATGGTCTTTTCTCACACTGTCTGCACTGACCATTGAGAATGTGAATGCCCCAAACCAGTTATGCTGCCTTCGATTATGTCTGCGCTGAGCCAGCATCAGGGCTGGTGCATCTGATGTGGCTGCCACAGGTATTGCTGGGCGCATGCTTTGTGCTGCTGAAATCACGGTGCTGAGATTTTGGTGGGAGGTTGAAATTCTTGCACACAATCCTGGTTCCAACCGATGTTACTCCTATTCTGATACTTTGCCTGCATACCACTGTGACTCTCTTGCAGGTGTACTTAGGAGCAATGGGAGATGCACATATATACGCTTCTTTGCCTATCCAATTAAACAGCGTGGTGAGTGGAGACCTGCTGTTTGACCAGCTGCAGGAGAACCTCTTCGTCATGACCCAGTCAATGGTAAGAGCAATTAAATGCCTTCCACAGAAGCCTTGAAAGAATTTGAGGTCCAGACAAACTGCCAAAGAGAGTGATGGAGGGGGCAGAGGAATGGTGTGTATAGCTAGATGTGTGCTGGGTAGCAGCTGCCTGCCGGTTCAGCTTACTAGGCCAGGGCCCGACCTTCTGCAAAAGCTGTAGGAAGTGTGGAGGAAGTCCTGTTACCTTAAACCACGGCCCGTTTGCACATGTGTTTCCATAAATTGGTCCGGCTGACTTGTATCGGTTGTATCAGCAGTGATGGTGTGCTGAGTCTTGCAGATGAGCTCAAGCTGTGTAAGGAACCATACAAGGCACCTTTCCATCTTCTGTAGTTCTCTTTGTGCCCGGTGGCAGCAGGAGAAGAGGTATTATGATTCCTCAGACTGCTGGTACACACTGGTGTCTGCTGAGCAGAAAATCCTGCTATGGATACTGTATTTGAGAGGATTTGTACAACACTCAGATCAGCTTCTTGAGCAAGAAGAAAAGGATCCTCGAGCAAAAGGAAAGCAACCCTTGAGTTACTCTGTCTGAAGGAAAGAACAAATTAAAAAATGAGAGTGTGCTGGAAAACCACTGCTTCCCTTTACCCACCCCCGCCATGTGCATTTTCAGATACTCAAATTTTGCAACACTTCAAAGGAGGAGTTGAAATCTGTGGGTGGAAGAAGATTAGGGAAATCTGAAGTATATCCTTAAAAGTAATTATTCTGTCAGTTACAAAAAAATGCAAATTACATGATATACTTAGCAAAAGCAATAGGTTAAGGATTAAGAGAGATTTTAAAGTAACTGCGAGCATGCTAGCTGAAGTGTAGTATCTGATTAAAGAGAAAGCAAGAGGCTGAAATCAGCAAGAATAGTAGTTAAAGCAGAAGCGTGCTGCAAGTCTAGCTTACCCCAGGCAGCACAAGGTTTTGTTCCACATCAGTCAGGCATCTTGTCCACTTCCAGTCAGAGTGACAGATCTGCCAGGTAGAGCTGGGCAATAGGGCAGGTGCTATCAGAGGCCTTTATAGAGATGACTACATAAAGTCATCTGTTGCAAGAATTGTCCCGGGTAATGCTACAGCAATGCACTGTGTGTTTCATTGTCTCTGTAGAGAATGATGTTCACGTGTATTTTGTCAATGTGTAAAATAGGAATCCAGATGGGCTCTGGAAATGTCTTCCTTTTTTCTTTAGTTTTATGCAGTGTTGAAAATTAGCATGAGTTTCAGTATGTCAACAGTGGGACTTGCTAACTAGGCAGAAGAAGCTGTAGACCTGGGGCTTGCTTTTTCCGTGCTGTGTTTTCATAGATTTCTTTCTCTGACAGGTGGTAAAGGTTCCCATACTGGAGTGTTCCCTCTACTTGGACTGCGAATCCTGTCTGGCACTGAAAGATCCTTACTGTGGCTGGTGTGTCCTTCAGGGACGGTAAGATAGATCCCTGGTCACCTGCAAGGTTTTTGGAGGAATAGTGTTTAGGAATTATCTCCACTTACTCTCTTTGTTATGTCTGTGCCTCAATCTACATCTGCATGCTTTTATTTTACTTTTATCCCCTTCATGGGATATATTTGGCCAACAAATTCACTCTCTGCCTCCCTAAAACACCACTACAAGTCACAGTTGCGCATAGGTGTCTGTCAGTTGCTTTTTGGGCTTTGGTCACAGCTCACGATGCTCCCGCCTAGTGGATTTCAGCCTGGTTTTAGTCTGACTGCAGCTCATACTGCCTTATTTCACTTAGCTCTTCTGGTGTCACGTTTGTGTTTGGTACTTTTTCACTTCTTGCTCCCCTACTGATATTGCTTAACGAGACATGGTTTATTCCAGCACGTCTGTCTGCTTGCTGGCTCTGTCTCCCTGCAGAACGCCTCAGGAACTGGTTTATGGCCCTTGAAGCCCAACAAGTGCCTACCCATCTGTACGCGCTGGCAGCAGTTCCACCTTCATTATGGGAGGTGGTGGGAGGCTGCAACTTCCGTGGCTTGTGTAGCAGCTTTCCTGAGACTCTAGCAAGGCTTTAGAGAGCCAGCATCAGCTTGGCAGTTGAACATGTGTCCTGCTAGGGCTGTGCAGATCTCTCACAGGGCTTCTTGCTATTTCTCTGCAGGTGCAGCCGTCGCTCTGAGTGCTTGCGGTCCAGGCTGAGTGAGCAGTGGCTCTGGAGCTTTAACTCTACACAGCAGTGTCTCTCTGTCCAGTCACTAACTCCAGCCAATATCAGCAGAGAGGAAAAGAGAAATGTGAGCAATGATGGTTCTCTGTGACATTTGAGTGTGTAGAAAGTCCCCTGCAAACTCTGAGAGGCCACAAGTCTTCGTGTTGCTTCCAGTAGGGTACTGAATCCCTGTGCCTTGCACATCTGCCTTGCATAAGGAACTGAAGTTGGCTGTCCCAGAAAATACATATTTTTTTTCCTATAAATCTAACTGTTCTTATCTGCTAATAGAAAGTTACTAGGTATTCTGGAGTATTTGATGGCTGCTTGGGTGAGGTCCTTCCTTGGCTTGATATCTATATGTCTGTGTGTTCAGAGTGTTTCTGATGCTTTCTGTCAGGAAGATCTAAAAGGAGCTACACAAAGTTACGGCTTCGGTCTGGCATCAGCTGGCAGAAAAGCTGAGGTACTGCAGTGTTTTGAAGGCTGTCATTGTGTCAGGAGGTGGCAAGAATCTGTCTTCTGCTAGAGACTTGAGCAAAGGAGGGAAATTGCTAATTGCTTGGTGGATGCCAAGTTGAGTTTGGGAATGGCAAGAGATGAACAGAGCAGAAAGCCCTGGAAGGTATTGTAGGAAAATGGGTGTGTATATAGATAACTGCTTTATAGGGCTTTTGCTTTGACAAAGTAGAGCCAGAAAATTTGATGAAATGGAAGAATGTGTTTAGAGGGCAAGATATTTACTGGATGTTATTGAATTGGCAGATATTCCTGGCTATCTCGGACTTACCTTCTCTACATGAGGAAGAATTCTACTCGTGTTACTTTGAAGATTATGAAAGCCCAGCAGTTCTGACAGAGTCAGGAATCATGTGTCCTTCGCCAGATCCCAGCCAAGCACCAACCTTGCCAGCAGGAGCAGGTCAGTGAAATGCTTTAAACGGAGCGTGTTAGCTCAGATAACACTGTCAAGAGAAAGTACGTTTTGGGTCCGTCAGAGTGCCAGGATTAACAGCCATGAATGTACATGGTCTGTCAGCAGGTGTTCATTTCATTCTGTCATAATATCTGTTTGCTTGCTACTTGTGTGTCACACACATCCTGTGCTATTCTGGGCTGTTGCCAGATTCCGATGCCAAATTCTGGTAGTTGGAAAGGAGATCCTTCTTGAAGGGTTGTATGCAAATCTGAATATGATCTAAAATGCACTCTACAGTGGTGGCTGGCTTGGCAGTTTCTATCATAAATCTGGAGAGAGGACTCTTAAATGCTGCCTTTTTCTTCTTTTTTTTTTCTTTTCTTTTTTTTTTTTAACCAAATAAAATGCAAACCTTTTGAAATCCACAAATTAATGGGAGAAGGAAGTACCTGTAAGGGAAGGCAAGAAGAAACCCACAGCCCTTAAAAAGATTAGAAATGAATCTGCAACGCAGCAAAACCTCAGAAAATACACAGCTTTCTATTACTGTGAACAATAACTGGCTAAATATTGCTAATTGGCCACTCCGAAGCACCTGGAAAGTTCTCAATTTATAGCCTGTGCATTGGATTTTGCCCAGCCTGTCAGTGTCAGCTTTGATGAGCTGATCTCTTCAGAGAAATTGTTCATCTAAATTAAAAGGCAGGTGCCGCCTGGGAATCATTCCACATAATGCACCTAAATAGCTAAACAGATTTACTATACGAGTATGCAGCTGGCTAATAGGTCTGAAACAATCTCCATGGACGTAATGTGACAGCAGACCCCAGCTAGCTGAGTTGTTCAAACTGAAGCGCCTTGATTTCTCAGTATTTGCCTGTTGGCTTTCACACTGCCTGGCATGAACCACCCAGGTCTCCCCTCAGGGTGGCCAGGCACAAAGGGGAAGGCTTCGTGCACTACCACTGTGGGCAGAGTGAGCAGGATTGGCTTCCCCATTTAGATCTGCAAATGTTGACTTGAATTTAAACTGGAAATGTCAGCATAGATAAAGCCACAATCTAATTTTCACAATTAAGTGCTTTACCTATGTAATTTTCATGTTGCTTCTCTGAAGCTAAGCAAATTGCTTCTGTTTTCTAGCCTGAACTTAGTAACTTTTCTAGCCTAAAATTATTCCTGGATGTTTGTGTCCATTTTGATCTTATCTGTTGTTCTGCTTCTGGAGCTCTTTTCTCAGTCAATGAACTATGGTCAGGCCTTTTTAGCACAGAGTTTTGCTGTGTTATCTGTGCCAACCTTCTCTTCATATTCTTTCATTACACAGGCGCTCTCTTTCTCTCTCTCTCTCTCTCTCTCTCACTGTCTTTCTAGCCCTCCTTTGGAGCAATTTTGTGCCCTACTAAGATGAATCAGATTCTGGTAACCAGAATCATACACTGTTTTCTAAATGAGGTCTCATTAGGGCCTCATGCACTGGTACTTTCCCACTCCTGTTTAAAATGCTTTTCCCACCTCTGTAAAACATTTGCTTTTTTTTCAGCTTTGATTTAAAGGTTGCATAGCTGTCACTTTAAGCTGATGAGCCCTGTACTGGTAGCAGAAAGTCTTGCTCTTAACTTGCAAGCACTCAACTTTGTCTTCTCAACTGTTGAACAGCGTCATTGGCAGTCATGGGAAGCAATGGGCTTTTTGGATAAAGGAATATTTAAAAATATGGTGTCATAGCCCTGAAATCCTGGGAGGTGTTTGCCCTTCCACCACTGCCAGATGCAGTTACCTTTATAGCAGCGGGGGGAGTTGGCAGTACTGAAGTGACTCCTGCCTTCAGCTGTGTCTGATACCCACCTTTTCTCCTAATCCTGGGGTTTCACACACACCTCATCACCTGTTTTACTAGTATAATGTCTCACTTGTCACCCTGTCAGGTACCAAGTTTATGCCTGACTGATCCTCCACCAGACAGAGTAGCTATTTTGCTGTATTCCAAACTTTTGCAAGTGAATCCTGCTTGCAAAAGGAGGTCTGAACTCTGTGAGAGGAACGATGGGCAAGCTTCTTATTACCTGCTTTTACAGCAAATTGTCTCGGAGAAATTGCATTGCTTAGAGTTCAGCAGAGCACGCAGTATGCTCCTATTACTTAGAGTCCTAGTGCTCAATTCTAGGGTTGAGGGCATCTGACTGGAACGAGATTAACTGGCTTCTTTAGTAGTCATATGCAAAGCATCTTTGGGCTCATGCTATCAGCTGTAGTTAGTTATGACCATCTCTGCACTTATGTGGTCTATAAGAAAGCAATGATAATCTCTTTCCCAAAGAGAGTCTGGCTGTCCTGAAGCTTGTACTTAACGTGAGACCTGGGTTCAAAGCAAATAAGCCTTCAGTCATTGCAAGTGAGATTACAAGTCTTGTAAACTCCTCCACTGACTCACTTCCTCAGTCTGGACATAAAACAAAGATCTCAAGGTGATAGCAGTACATGAAGTGTGTGCTGGTTCTAAGAGTTGGGGTTTAGAGTCGTAGAATGGTGAGGAAAGGAAGAGAAAGTTGGCTTATCTAGGGCTAGAAAAATTCTTAGTGTCTGAAGAATTTACAAAAGATTTTAATTACTGAATAAATTTCACAAGAACGTGTGTTGAAGCCCTTTACTTCTGGAAAAAAGAGTCAAAAAAAATATGTAATAAATTTTGTCAGTATGTAATCATGGAATCATGTGTTTTCCCATGAATGACAAAGGATGTCAGTCAGCTTTGAGCCTGGAATGTCACTTCTTCCTCTAATACGTGATATGTGGAGGTGATGGTGGAGTGCAAATGAAGCACTGATGATGGATGGCAAACGAAGAGGAAGGGATCTTCAGAGCCATCTTCCTTCCCCTGGGTTGGCAAGAGCTGTCATAAACTACTCCTGAGCAACTTGTCCAGCCAGTTTGTAGTGTCCATAGGGTAATCTGGTGATTGAGATGCTGGCAGCATGGAAGGGAAGCTGTCTCCAGGTGTCTTCCCTAAAGCATGCTCTGTCTTTTAACAGTATGGCAGTTTTACGGTGGCTCCATTTCTAAGAAATTTTTATTTTTGCTTTCAGATCATGTCACCATAAAGCTCGTAGTGCGTTTCCATGACATCTTCATTGCTTCTGTGGACTTCTCTTTCTATGACTGTGCTGCAGTGGCCCTGCTATGGAAATCAGCACCGTGAGCACCTGCTTTTTCTTGTCTGTAGTTGTAGGGAGGGTGGCTGTCCTGTCCTGGCTCATCTTAGCAGCTGCTTTTCTACCACTCTTCCAGGTGCCAGAAGTGTGTGAGCAGTCCTTGGGGATGTAACTGGTGCATCCAGCAGCACCTCTGCACCCACAAGGCAGCGTGTGAGGAAGGAATCATCATCTACAATGAAAGGGTGCGTCCCCTCCTCAGTCCATCAGGGGTGAAGCAGCCTCTTGTGAGACATTGCTATGGGGAGTTTTTCCTCCTTGGGTTTTATTCTGCATTTTTCTTCTTTCCTCTCACCCTGCCATGTTGTTTTTCTCTAGGCCCAGCTGCCAACTTCAAGCGTGTTTCCTTCTTCAGCAGCTCCCCTCACCAAATCCTCTACAGTAGCCCCTATGGTGGCCACAAAACCCATCACTGTGCGTGTGGTACTGAGCACTGCGTCCCACACAGAGCCCAACCACGTCACTCCCTCTGCAACCTCAGATTCAATGACTGAGCCTACAGAAACCTTCCTCTACACGTCCTCAACTCTTTCAACCGAAGCAGCGTCTCTCCAGGCTGTCACAGAAGCCCCCCTGCCACCACCAGCAGACAAACCTGCTGTCACTCTGCCAGACACAACTTCTCCTGCTGCATCTGTCCTCACCAGTCCGTCCAAAAATGGGGATCATGCAGCCCTGCCCACCGCAGAGCCAGCCACTGCCCAGGAGCCGTGGGGCACTGACCCACCCACCACTGCAGTAGCTACTCCTCTGCTCACAACCGCACCAGCAGTGACACCTTCCCCTCACGTCACCAATTTCAGGTGGCCTCCAAATTCTTTTCCTACCACCGAAGCCCAGACATCTGCCATCCCATCTCCCCAGCCCCGCAGCGAGGTGCCAGGGGAGCCTGCTGCCTCTGATGACTCTCCTGGTTTCCTGGGAACCGAAATTCCTGCTTCGGAGCTCCCGCCGTCAGCTCCCCCAGACTGGCTGCTGGGGGAAGACACGGAGCTCCAGGACACGGAGGACTGGATGGATTTGCTGCAGGCTGAGAATGAGACGTCTCCCTTCTCTGCTTCCACTCTTCTGTCGGGTGATGGCGATTCTTCAGAGAGGGATGTCCCTGACTTACCCAGGATCCTCCACCCTGACCTCGACTATCAGTATGATGCCCCTGGGTTTTGGGAGGAGGTAAGTTGCTGGACTTCAGAATCTGCAGTTTAAGGCTGTAATGCTTTGAAATCTTGATAGATTGCTGATCTAATATTTCAGCGCATAAGGGAGGTAGTGGTCTCAGAGAAAGTAGCAGCTGACCGCTGTAAATGCAGGGTGAGAAGTGGCAGCCTGAGGAAGAAAAACGCATGGGAGATTCTCAGGTCTTGTAGAAAAGCTGCTGGCCTGAAGGTGGCAGCTGCTGTGATGTCCAGCACATTCACAGCTTTCTGCTGTTCACCACTTTGGGCTGGTGCGTTGCCTTCCTGTAACTCATAGTAAAGAGGCACTGATGTGTCTTTGTCCAGGCAGGGCTTTATTTCTTTGTTTGCCTATTGTTTCTCTGATCTCCTCTATCAGAGGTATGAAAGCCTCTCTCTCTAAAGATGTGTTTGTTTTCAGAATGAAGAGTTTAGCTGGGGTCCTGGTGCGTGTCCCTGTGTGCAGGGAATCCAGGGATCTTCGCTGTTTCCAGTCAACGTGGCAAGGAAGATAACCCTGCTAGGAAAGAACTTCCACCTCTACCAGGTAGTTAGCTGCTATTTCACCTTAGCATTGAGGGACGACTGACTTGTGGGAGTAAGAAATTAGGTAGTCGGATTTACTGGTGGGTAGGAGGGCATGCAGAGAAAGGAGGCTACACGTGTGCACCAACCTGCTGCAGAAATCTGCACGTATTTGGATTGTTGCACCTGTGCTACACTGTAGATGGTAGTTCTTGGAGTAACTTCCTGCTGAATCTCTGCTGGTTGTTTGTGTCTCCATATGCTAAAGATAAGTTATCTGTTCCCTTTCCTTTCTGGCCTGGTAATGTTGATGTGGTGGCTATTCCTGTCGTACCTGAAGCCTCCACAGTGGGGAAAACCGGGCCCTTGGAAGCTTCGTTCCTGGGTGTGTCTCTGATAAAAATTCTTTGCCTCTTAAGACAGAAGGCTGATTTAGTAACCTTTTACAAACAACCGCCTCAGAACATGCAGCCCACAGACTAATTGTTACTTTATATGCTAAACCTGATATACTTCACTGCTCAGAGCAGCAGAGCTAGTTACAGATGCATGTCCTTTTTCTGACAGAACATGCCCAAGCAATTCAACGGAAGGTTTACAGGAGAGAGAAGAAAAATACACGTAGTGTTTTTGAGGTGCACTGTGTACTCAACTCTTCGTTTCTGAGCTAGTGTTTCAGAGTTGAACAAGCATAACCTCACAGTCCCACTGTTTTTTCTTTAATTCTTCCTCCTGTGGAGACTTGTCCCTACACTGACATACATATGCTGCTCCTGTCTACGTGTTTTGTATTGGTTTGATTCTTTTTGTACATGGAGACAGTAAGAGCGTAGAGAGCCTTCAAATATAGCATAGAATTTGGCATAACAAAGGGAATGACAGGAGCACACTGCCTGCACAGTAAGAGGCTTGGTAAAAGGCGCTGAATTGGAGTGCCAGGAGCCTGCTGTCATGTAGCAGGAAGCTCCACGTGATTAGGAAATGGTGCTGTATAAATCTTCTCCTCTGTAGGACCAGCAGTGGGACTATGAGTGTGTCCTGAATTTGGAGGGGAGGATAATGGTGATGGATGCTTATGTGGAAAGGGAAGAAACCAACCAGTCCCTGTGTTATATCACCTGCCAGCTGAACCAGGTGAGTGCTTGCAACGTGTGATGCCATTTCACAGGTTTCACTGGTACTGGTTTTGCTCAGCTTGTTTATCCGACAGGCTAGGATGCAAGCTCTTTGGGGAAAAGACCGTATTTTGCTAAAACATTTATACAGTATTTATCATTATAGTGCTCTGCGGTTGTGCTGCCTGGCAGTATTGGTGCTTCGGCTTGCAGAAAGATTGTGCAGCCTGAGCCCCGAGATCTGTTGCTGCATTCAATGTGGCACGGAATGGTGCTGGCTCAGAATCACCACTCGTTGCAACCTGCCAGGACACTGCAGCCTTTGCTATAGCTTGAGCCTCTGCTGTCTGCAGTTTCTGGGTCATGGCTTTCGCAGTGGTGGTTCTTTTGTGAAAAGAAAAATGCTATTAATGCCATTTTTTCTCTTGGTGGTGAAGGATAGCCTGTGGATTGTAAGAATAGCAGGTGCAATCAATCAAAACAGCAATTTACATTTCTGGATTGTGTGTAGATTTTCCATATGGCAAGATTTGCAAGCAGAGGTGGTATTTTTAGTTCGCAAACTCGTATAGTCAAGGGAGAAGGAACAACATAGGCTTTTGCACACACAAGCCGTGCGGACCAATTATAATGCTACATCTTCAGCTCAGCTGAAACTGCAGAAATGCCAGCTTGAGCAGTTTTTTGAGCAGGTGGCTTGTAATTAGAAATCAGACATTTCAGAATGCATTTAGAAAGTTAGACAAGTATTGGCACGAGCACGCACTTGTTTTCAGTGTTCTTCCTGGTGAACCAATGTCAGCTGCTCTTTCTAGAGCAAAACGGTGCCTGAGTGAGCCAGCGAGGACAGGTCTGTGCTGCCACTGCCTGAGCAGTGCTGCCTCAACTGTGTTCACAGGACGCTCCATACAGGCTGTGCCTGCTAATGATCTGTGCAGGATGGGTGTTGATTTTGTTCTTTGTTTTTCCAACCTCTTCAGCTGGCTTGTTTGTGCCTCCATTAAGTCCTTTGCCTTCATGGTCCTTGTCTTTGCAGTACAGCTACACAGCACCTCAACTCGAATTCAATGCCGTGGTGTTTGTGCAGAGGAGACGACACCTCCGAGTGGACAGTGCTGCAGATCTCCACGGTAGGAATGCAACACTGCTTCAGCAGAGACAGCAAGTGGGATGGAAGGGAATCAAGGAATCCTCAGCTTGGGCTTTTTGCATCTGTAGTAGTCCTATCACAGGGACCAAAGCAAACATAAAGCCTTGGTTCTATCAGTTCTCACAGAGAAGGGAGGTGGAGGGGTTTCTTTGTAAGACACCAAGTGCTGGAATATTCTGTGCCTTAGGGGCTGCTTTCAGATGCCTCTGAACGTTTCTCTTTTGCAGTGACTTTTTACAACTGCTCTGTGGGACACACCGATTGTAGCCGCTGCCAAACAGCTGACTCGAAGTACAACTGTGTGTGGTGTGGAGGCAGCAACCCCAGCTGCATCTTCAGGGGCTCCTGCAAAGAAGAGATAGAAGACCTGTGTCCAGCACCACTCATTCACTCTGTGAGTAACCCACTCACCAGTGCACTACACCTGGGGCAAGGAGGGCTGCATTCTCTGGTTGAAACCAGAGGTCTGTGAACTCCGAGTGAACAGTGCACCTCAGCAGGACATTGGCCATCAGAAGAGCAAGATAATCCTATTCTGCTCTCATCTCTCGGTGGCGTGAGGATGCTAGATTTGTGCTGGGCTTTCATTGTACTCATAAAGACCATTGGGGAAAGCTGCATTTGTATGTCATGTGAGCTGAAACTGGCATGCCAGAAGGAGCTGAATCATTCAGAAGCTGGAAAGGGTCCACAAGTTGGATCCCCCAACTGTTCTGAGCCAGAGCTTGAACCAGGCTGGCCCAACTGAGCCTGGGGTAAAGGAGGGCAAATCCTAATGATAATGGCACAGCAGGGATGTGAAAGGCATGACAGGTTACTGAGATTAATGATTTTTGTCTGTTTATTTTAAATGTCTCTTGCTAACTGCCACATGACAAGTGTCTGTAGCCATGTGTCCCTTTTGCTGTCAGCTTGTCCTCCCTCCAGTGGCACACAACGTCCATGTGCTGCATCTTGTCGTAGTTCACCTTGGATGCTGCTGAGGGACAGAGCTTTGAAGTTTGTGCAGCATGTGATTCATTGTCGTACTGATGCTGAGAGGGTAATGGTGCTTGCTGCTTCAACACCAGTAACATTTATCAGCTTGTGCATTCCCACTCTTCAGTAGAGATGCCCTAACGGAGTGGTCAGCATGGTGATGAGAAGGCAAAGCAGGGCAGTCCTTGCCTGTAGAAGTCTAGAGTGGACTCATACCCTCTGGGGAACTGCTGGCAATGGTGAGGTATAGGACAGAAAGCTCTGATTGTGGCGTTCTTTATGGCCTTTCTTCTGAGGATGCAGCCTGGATCTAGTCCCAGCCACCAAAGGGAATCATCAGCAATGGCCAGACCAGGCAGAATTTGCAGTGGGGCAGTAGTGAAGGGCCTGGTGCTGTAGATCAGTCACCAGGCTGAGGAGGTCTGAGATACTGTGACACTTACACGTGCGCGGGTGTCTTTGCAGGTATACCCCCTGTCTGGACCAGTGGAAGGTGGCACTAGAATCACCATCACTGGCTCAAACCTCGGGCAGAAACATCAAGACATTGCAGAAACTGTCACTGTTGCAGGAATTCCTTGTGCCGTAGATGCTCAAGAGTATGAGATCTCTAGCAGGTAGAGTATCTGTGAACCTTCTCCCAGAGACAGGCGCTGGCTTTTCCCTTGGCTGCTGACACCAGGCTGAGATTTCGTTGCCTTTGCTGTAGCAGGTATCGAGCCTTGCCCATTCCCCAGGGAGTGCCCCTGAGTAAGGTCACTGTCTGATTAGTTATTCCTCAGGCAGTGACCTTGGGGAGATAAGTTTGTGTACAAGGCAATGACCCAACAGTGCTGCAGTGTACTGAACACAGCTAGCTGGCTCAGGGCGTCACGGGCTCAGCTGCAGTTTATGGGTGTCTCTGTCACAGCTTCCTTTCAGTAACGCACAGGACGTGGCTTTTTATAAGTGTCACTGCCAGGAAAATATCCTGGCCTTGTAAACACAGGATGAGGATGGGGATGCGTGGTTGGAGGTATAGCACAATTCCTTGCCTCTGCTAGAACAGGCACACCCCAAGGTGTTTTCCGTCACTTTCTAGCCAGACCTCCACCTCCCTGAACAAATCCAGTGAAAGGACCTTCTTAGCCAGGGACTGACAGGGGAGTCCTGCTGAGCCCTGTGCCACGCTTTGTTGGCTAGCAGGGCATGGCAGCTCGTGGTGCCTGTAAAAGTAGTGACTATGGGAAGGATGAGAAGGGGCAAGAGAGGTCCTGCTGAATCCAGCTAATTAAGTGATAAAGAGAATTGGGTAGTTGTGTGTCTGGTCAGGGAAGGACCATACAACAAGCAAGTGTAGTCAGGTGTTTAGAGGTGTGACTGGAACAGCTAGGAAGCAAAGAGAAATATTTGTACAGTTGGCCTATGGCAGGACAGGTAGGTGGGAGCCTTGGACAAGGGAGGCAGAGGAGCCAAGCAACCAGCAGGAGATGAGGAGAGAAGAGCAGAGCAATTGTGAGTAACCTCTCATCAGAGCTATCACAAACCCATTTTTCCATTCCATGGTAGCAGTAGCTGTAGCACCCTTCCCCTGGGAGCAAGGTAAGATCCTGCTGGGAAGTGGCCTGCTGTGTTGAGCAGTGTTGTCCTGTCTGTGCTGCTTGTTTGTCTGGATCCATCTTGCTTTCTGTTTTCATCCTAGAATTAGAGCGTAATCTTTCTTGGGTGGCACTGTCTTTGTTCTGTATGTCACCTGGCATCCCAAGGTCCTAGCTTGGGACTGGCTCCCTGCCAGTCTCTTCAGATTTCTGGGCCTTTTTGGTTGGGGGCATGTAACTTTGAACTTGGAACCCACTCCTGAGCAAGGCCCAGACAAAATTAATCTCTTACTGCATAGGGAATCTGGCAAAGCCTGCTGCAGAGCAAAGTTTTTGTGATAGTAAATCAGTGCTCAAACAGGGCAGCAAGGAATCCTATGTTAGAAGAATAACCTGATTTTTTTTGCATTGTCAGCATCTCCCATACCAAATTATGGCTGGAAAAGGGACAGGGAAGAATGGGTGGTGCACACAGGGAGGGCTGGCAGATCCCAGAGGCTGCTGGCTGAAGACCAGCTAAACCTACAGCTTTTTCTGCATCAGACACAGTGCTAATGTGCGGCTTGAGGTCACTCCAGATGTGTCTGATTTGATCAGCTCTGGACTGTAGCAGAGTTCTTGGCCTCTTTCTGCATCTGATGTAGTGGGCTTCCTCCTGTCTGTCCCTGAAAAAGTGATCTTGGATGGGATGGACCCTTTTGGAACTGCCCCCTGTTTTTTTTTCCTGCTGCACCTAAACTGGCTTTTAAAGGAGTTTTTCCACGTTCAGTGGTGTATTCTGAGCATGTGATAAGGCTGAAAGAGAAGGGAGCTGTGGTTGCTAGGTGGTTTTAGAACACGATGCAGAGGATACAGCTCGTTTTCTCTTCCGTGCTGTGACGCTGTTCTTGGATTGTCCTGCAGTATCGTCTGTGTCACTGGCGGGAGCTGGACGGAGAGATTCGGGCACGTGGTGGTGGAAGTGCCTGGAGGAGGACGTGGAGTCTCTGGGCATATTTTCACCTATCAGGTAATGTGGCTATTGCTTCTTTTATACCTCTCCCTATTCTTCTAGTATTTCTGCTGAAGAGCTGCCAATTGCATGAACTTACGGCTCTCTATCAGAAACTTGGTGCTGGTGTTTTTATCCAATTTATCTGGTCTTTCAGTTCTGTTTCCTTTGTTTGTTTTTCTTCCCTGTTGTTAAGATCATAAGAACAGATGTATTGGATTGTATGAAGGTTTCCATAGTCTAGTGGTTTTTTTTTGTTTTGTTTTGTTTTGTTTTGTTTTTTTGATGGTGACAATGTAAATATTTAAAGAGGAAAAATACTAGGTACTTCTCTGATTTGGAGATTTTCATTGGTGACTTAGCATCCTGTTAAGACTTGTAACCTTCCTTTTATTAATTTGCAAATTGCTGCTTGAAAAGTTCTTACTTCTGACCTTCAGCAGCTGGTGGCAATAAGTCCAGTGTATGTAGAAGCTTCCTATTATTTTTAAACACCTTTCTGATAAATTGTCGATATCTTAAAACACAGCAACTATGAAATAGTTAAGTAATTTTAAGTTAGTTACTCACATTTCAACCTTGCTGTACAACTTACAGTTGTATTTGCCAAGTTGCATGTCTCACATTTCCCCTGGGAAGAGGAAAGATGTCTGAAAAGTCTTAAGCTATTACATTTTGCTGTATAAAACCATTTTGTATATTGGATTGTGCTTGTTATTGCTCTTTGTTTTGGTTTTCTTATCACCATTTGAGGCAGGGTGATTAGAACTGCGTACTTACATTCAAGATGTGAGTGCAACAGGAATTTGTACTATCATATATATATTTAATTCTCAATTCCTTTCCCAGGAATTCACACGGCTTGATGTATTTTTATTGGGATCTGTGCTTATAGAGTTGTTATAGGCACTAAAGCACTCCTGAATGGGTTATTTCAAAGCTCACAACTGGGCTGGTTTCGTTGTTGTAGTCTGTCTGCTCCATCTCATTTTATGTATCTTGCTTTTCATTTATCATTTGTCAGTAGCGACTTAACTTGCGCCACTCTGTTGCCTGGTTCCTCTATTTTTTTCTGCACCGCCTGGGACTAAGTCATCGTTAGTGTGAATAATTTATCAAATTTCATTTCTCCTTTCCAGGTGACCTAGCAGCATGCTTAGCAGCTCAGGCCTTAAGACAAATTCTTAAGGCTCCCTGCTGGTAATCTCTTCATCTACTAGACAAACAGACAATTTATTTGCTGCCTTGTATTTCCTAACTTGAGTTATTAATCCAGTTACTGATCTGAACAATCCCTTTGAACTGTTAATCCTAGGGTTTGTGTGTGAGGCTCACAGCTCTGCTGTCTGCAGCATCTGTCTGCCTCTTGCATTGTGGAAAGACAAGTCTCTGATTCGCATTTCTTGCTAGTGTGGTTGATCCCTCCTCTCCTGGTGCCATTCCATAGCAAGGCAGCAGCTGGAGTCTAGCTGAGGACTGCATGTGATTGGGAATCTATAGCTTGTGTTTTCGGAGCACTGGAGATCACTGCTACTTTCTTTCCTTGCCTTATTTTGCGACGGTCTTGTCACTCATCTCTTTTTCTTTTTTTGTTCTAGAACCCGGAGCTGAAATCCATTGTTCCAACTCAGGGCCCTAAAGCAGGAGGAACATGCCTTACCCTTCTGGGCTCAAAGCTGCTGACTGGACATCCTAGTGAGATCAGTGTCCTGCTTGGAGACCTCCCTTGCCGCATGTAAGATCAGAGCCTGCCCATGTGCTGGCTGTGCACTGGCCCGAGTCTACCCCAGAGCCCTGCAGGGTTTTCAGCATTAAATTTAGGAAAATATGGGAACAGGTTCACAGGCTGTCAGCAAAGAGCAAGGCATAGTACTATAGAACCTTTCTCTGCAGTGGCTGTATTAATCCTTTATTCTCTTTTTTTGTCTCTCCAAGCCTCTCTGAGATGACAGAGGATCAGCTGGCGTGTCAGACAAGTCCCAGCAACGTGTCTGCAGAGCTACCAGTCACTATCAAGTATGGGGACCAGGAGCGGAGGCTGGAAGGATTCCTCTTCAGATATACCCTGGATCCCAACATCACTTTTGCAGAGCCACCTAAAAGCTTTCTCAGGTACAAAGACCGAGGGCTTGTGCCTTCCCTGAGGCTGTGTGCCATGGCAGGCAGGTGCTACAGCACCAGTGGCATCTGTTTGTTGTGCTGCACTCTGAAAAAAGCCAGGCATAAACAGAAAGGTGGGAGCATGGGACAGAGCTAATGAATAATAGGTGCGTGAGATTGCCTGCTTTTCTTTTCCAGCGGAGGGAGAGTGCTCAGAGTTCACGGATACAACTTGGATGTTGTACAGAAACCGAAGATTCGTGTTACAGTCTCTCCATCTGAACGCCGGCGCCGAGGAGTGGGGCGATGGCGCAGAATAATCCCAGACACCGAGTGCCCTGAGGGTGCTCTGTGCAGCGTCCAGCAGGTAGCGTGGTGAAGTGCTCAGTGGAGCTGAGGGTTCTTGAGGGCTGGTGCGTTGTGCTGCAAAGGTGGACTTTCTGTCCCTAGGGCTTCTGGACCCCTTGCTGTTATCTGCTCAGTTCCCACCAACTAACAGTCTTGGCCAAACGGAAGCGATCTCTGCCAGACTGAAAGGTTAAGCATTTTCACAGACGTTTGCATGAGTTGGGTTTGCCTCTGCTCAAAGATGTGCAGGGCTTGTGATAGGAGACAAGCAGCAGGGCAGCAGTGTGGAGATAAAGAAATCTGCAGCTGAGCCAGAGCTTGTCTGGCTCAGCGTGTCCATGCTCCAGACTTTCTTTTTGCATAGTTCAGGTCTGTCTTTAGAGCTCCTGGGCTCTTTCACTCTGAGATATAAAACCAGGCAGAGTTCAGTGAAATGACCAATTCCACCAACGTTTTTCTGTTCTCCAGATGTCAGTGTCCTGAGATGAGTCACTGCTTAGGTCTTGATCTGACCATCAAGACTGCAGAGCTTGCAGCAGAATTTGCAGTTAGGGGGTATTTGGTAGCCGAAGTACAACAAGGGTTTGCATTCATAGTGCAAACAACGGAGGGCTTCCTGTTCATAAACTTGGAGGCCTTGTCTTTGTTTTTTAATCTCCCAGTGTGCTGAGAAGTAATCATCTGACATTTCATCTGGTATTCTGAGAGAGGTGGTGAGGATGATGCTCTTCATATTCTTATGCATATATGAAAACTGCTCTAACTATGTAGGACTTTTTTCTATGTTAAGTCCCTTCCAGGTTTCTGTCCTACAGATATGGAGCTGAATATGCTCCCAAAGGACATGTACTACTAAAGGCTGTTTTTCCCAATGTTTTTAGGAAGGCATTTGTGGCTGTGAATTCCTCTGGGGGAGAGAAAAATGGCTAATGCTCTCATCACATGTATAAAACATATGTAATCCTACAAGGGACACTTCTTTCACAGAAACATTCAGGTTAGGAAGTCTGCAGTGCCTTGAAGGTCTTTGGTCCCCTTCTGTCAGAGCAAGGAGATCTAAAGCTGATGCTGCTCCAGATTTTGCTGCTGTGGGAGCGTTGGAGCTGATTTCCACTGCTGAAACCTAGGTACTTGCAGCAAAATCAGTGCTCTGAAGACTTTCTTTAGAGGAACATGGGGAATTCCTCAGATCTTACGTTTTTCTCTCTACAATTAGCAGAGCTTTTCTGGCATTGCTCCAGGTAAGAGGAGCACAGACTCACCCCAGATTATGCAGGGTTTGAAAGCATTGCAGAGCTGCAAGAGAAGTCTTTAGTGTTTCACTGCTAATGCTTTTTTTATTTTCCCCTCTTTGGCATTTAGTTTGAAGAACCGTGTCTTGTTAACTCCTCCTACCTGATCCTGTGCAAGACTCCAGCCATTAACCTGCTATTACGGAGTGTCCACATCAAACTGGAATTTATTCTGGATAATTTGAGCTTCGATTTCAACTCATTGCATCCCATGCCCTTCTCTTACGAAGTCAACCCCATCCTCAAGCCACTGAATGCTGAAGACCCTGCCAAACCATATCGTCACAAGCCAGGAAGCGTCATCTCTGTGGAGGTAACACAAGAACTATCTAGAAATAACATATGCTGTACAAAGTTGTTGCTAACCTGAGGCTGTTTTAAATTGGCAACATGCAGCTTCTGAGATTTTTAAAGCATTTGACAGGCTTGCAGCCTGTCACAGCACATCTGCTTTGGCCTCTGAGAAATGGCACATTAAAGGAGGAAAAAGGAGTGCATCAAAAAAGCCTCTTGAGACCATAAATCATTTAGGGTTTCATAGGGCTCATGGAAACTTCCATAGTTATTTTATTTTTGTCCTAATGTGAATTAACACTATTTGTGTATGAGGTATTAGTACCAAAAAAGCACCAATACATTCTATTCTCAGCTGCCATTTTTTCATGACATCTTAAAATTCTTCTATAAGTAACTTAAGAGTAAAAAAAATAGGAAGAGGAAAAAAAGAAAAAGAAAAACAACAAACAGGTGGAAATAGGAAAATCATTGCTTATAGAGGACGCAAAAGGGCAGAGTGGCAAATGTTTGTATTTTTTTTATATATATGTGAGGAAAAGGCACTTTGATATTTCTCTTCCATAGAAAGGTACTCTCTAGTCCAGTAGCAGTTAAGAAAGGTAGTTTCTGCAGCTGGAGACGTGCGCTTTCTCCACTTGATCTTTTCGATCACAGAGTGAAGATTGTTTGGCTTACAAAATTAACTTGTGAAGCCAATTCAGATGGGAGCCCAGTCAGGGAAGAAGAAAAGCTCCTCTCATCCTATGGTGCTCCATCTTCTCTGGAGCCATGGGCAATGCAGAGAATGCTTCTTAGCCCGATTTGATGCCCTGTTCCACCTCTGTTCCAGGGGGAAAATCTAGATCTGGCCATTTCCAAGGATGAAGTTATGGCCATGATTGGGGAAGGAATCTGCGTGGTGAAGACACTAACGAGGAATCATCTCTACTGTGAGCCTCCTTCTGAGCAGCCAGCTCCGCGGCACCGCACAAAGCGGGAGGGCACCGACTTGCTCCCAGAGTTCACGGTAGGGAATCAGCAAGAAATCATGTCGTTAGTGGGTGCACAAGCAAGAAGGTAGTGATGGAAGGAGTGAGTGGGACGGGAAGTAAGAGAGAGGCAGAAATGGTGGCAAGGAGCTGCTTTTATTCTCAACTCTACCCTTAACTGCCAAACAGTGCCTGGAACAAACAGCACAGCTGGATTCAGGAGCTGTGCCATGGGATGTAGCCTTACTAGAGAGCTGTGTGCCACCTCTGCTTGTTCTGCAGAAGCTGTGTGTCTTTGCTTTTTGTTGCTGCACTGAGGTGCTGCATCACAGCACCTGCTTTCGCTCCAGGTACAAATGGGAAACCTGAACTTCCTCCTGGGCCGAGTGCAGTATGACACAGAAAGCCAGCTCACCTTCCCACTGGAGGCACAGATTGGTTTGGGTGTTGGTGCGTCCTTTGTGGCACTCGTCGTTCTGGTCATTGTCTTCATATACAGGTGAGAGGCTGTGGCATTGTATGGGAGCTTTAACTTCTCAAAGTTATTCAGTCGATGTGGTCAAGCCTGTATATTCTAGGCCTAAGCAAAGTCCTAGTTTACTTTTATTTTGTTACAAATTCTGAGCCCTTTATGTTGTTGGACATGTGAGGCATAGGGGTGGTGTGCCTGCGTTGTGATTCATTCAGAGCACTCACCTAATGGGTGCTCCAAGGGACAAATGTAGTTACAGGACACAGTTTGGTGTCCTGTAAAGGTGGTGTTCAGTAGAAATCACCTCAACAGCATTGCCCTGGAGTCCTTGGCAGCAACGCAACAGCTGGCTAAGACCACTGGGAACAACTCTGTTTCTTACTACAGGAGGAAGAGCAAACAGGCTCTGAGGGATTACAAGAAAGTTCAAATCCAGCTGGAAAATCTAGAAACAAGTGTTCGGGACAGATGCAAAAAGGAATTCACAGGTTAGTCACAGAGCTCCTACATTCCTGCAGCTTCAGGAAAGTTTGAAGAACCACACAGAGCCCTACCATTCTTTTCATTCCTGCATACTTGTTTGGGTAGCTCAGGACAGGCAATAGCTTTATCCTGTGCTAGTGCATTGAAACATAGCCAAATCTGTGTATTTCATTCTTCTCTTTAATTCAGAGCACAGTGATCTATACAGACCCCTCTGATTCTCCAGTCCATCCTCCAGACTCAGATGAAGAGCTAAAGGTCAAGACAGCGCACTTGGAGAGACCTTAAGTACAGCTAGCCCAGTCTGTGTGTAGAGCAAGTTGAGTTACACCCCGTATCTTGAGTCTGCAAACCTTGAACTTCAGCTGCCTACAGCTGAGAGCCCTTGTGTGGGGCATTTAGGGCTCCAAAATTTGTGCAAGCTACTCAGCTTGTGATCTCTAACTAATGGGGGAAGCAGGGAGGAGCAGGAGATCCATGGTACTTTGTGTGTAGATAATGCCATAACCACAGATCAGTGCTGAACAGCGGCTTCCTTTTTATGGCTGGCTTCCTTTTAAAGCTGGAAGCCAGACCCTAACTGTAAATGAGAATAATCACCAAATTCACCTGCTGATTCCCAATGCAGTTTCTCCCAGCACATAGTCTAGTGGTAAATATTCTCGCAATGGGACCCCAATGTGACTCTTCCTGACAGGAAACATCATTCCTCATCTTCAGTCCCATCCTGCTGGCCCTAGTTCCTGCCTGCACTCACCTCATGCTCTGTACCATCGCTTGTGTGATCATGCGGTCAACATCACGGGCATTTCCTTTCCCCCAGACCTGATGACTGAGATGATGGACCTCACAAGCGACCTCGTGGGCACAGGCATCCCCTTCTTGGACTACAAGTCCTATGCGGAGCGCATTTTCTTCCCGGGCCACCGTGAGTCACCATTGCAAAGGGACCTGGACATCCCCGAGTGCCGGCGGCAAACGGTGGAGCAGGGCTTGGTCCAGCTCTCCAACCTGCTCAACAGCAAGCTCTTCCTCACCAAGGTAAGGTCCCTCTCTCTGCTTGCAGCATGTAATGGGGTCTGGGCCTGTATTGCTGGCAGGAAGCAGGCAGTGCTCATTAAAGTTCCTTCCTGATCAGCCCCCCCTGCAGCACCACTGCTTGCAGGAGCCGTTAGGTGGGACTGCCTTGTTTTCAGGGGGTTCACACACTGCCTTGTCTCTCTCTCTCCACCAGTTCATTCACACTCTGGAAATCCAGCGTACTTTCTCTCCGAGAGACCGGGCCTATGTGGCATCTCTGCTCACCGTGTCGCTGCATGGGAAGCTGGAGTACTTCACTGACATCCTCAAAACACTCCTGAATGACCTTGTGGAGCAGTATGTGGCCAAGAACCCCAAGCTGATGCTGCGGAGGTGAGCGAGCCAGACACGGTGCCGGTGTTAGCTACACCAGGGGACAGAGCCTTTCTGTCCAGCTAGCAAGCTCTGAGAAAGCTCTGAGGCTGAAGTTACCCACCACAAATTCTTTTCTTCATCTGTTCTTCCGAAGCTGCTGTATGTTAGCTTTCTCTTTGTGCTCAAGTACTGCAGCTCAGTCAGATCTGCTGTTTAGAGGTCTCTGGGATTCCCAATACTGCCATGTGTGGAACCTAAATTGAAATATCTCCTATGTTTGGATCCCCATTAGCCTCCTGTCCAGTGTATCCTTCTGATCTGTACAAATTTCTCTTGTTTTGAGACCTGACAGAGGCTATCCTCTATCCCCTTTGTCTTTTCTGTCATTTGGTGCCTCCTTCAGGCTGAAAAGTGCTTCAAATAAGAAGTAGGATCAAGAGCATTAACCTGACTGGTCCCTAAAGTATTTTTTTTCCTTTTCCTTCCTCCCTTGATCCTGTGTATCATTTAGCATGCTCTTTTCTCACCTTTTGTCAAAAGGATCAATCTTTATCTCCAGTTTTCTCCCTGCTGTGCACTGTATCTTTGTGACCAACCTCATACTCTCTTTCAGGACGGAAACAGTGGTAGAGAAGCTGTTAACCAACTGGATGTCCATCTGCCTGTATGCATTTGTGAGGGTGAGTTCTTTGTCTCTTTGTGAAGGGGCCAAACGAGGGGAGGCAGCCACAGCTCTGCTTGGTGCCTCACTCTTAGCTGGAACGGTGCTGGAGCCATCCTGTATTTCAGGGAAGAGATGCTTAAATCAGCATCGATGCCACTCCCTGTTTCCAGGGAGGGGGTAGCAAGGAGAATCCCTCTGATTAGTGGCATGGAGACGGTGATGCTGTGGTCTTGTGCATCCAGCTGGTCCTTAGCCCCTGCAATTTCCCTGTGCTTGGAGCAGGAGCTGTTGGCAGGCTTTGCCTGCCTGCAGTGGTTTAACTGGTGTGTCACTGGTGTCCTCCGTCCTGCTGCTCTTCTGCTTGGTGTCCGTGTTTCTAAGCTGTTGGGTTCTGCTGAGAAGAGCCTGATGAATTTCTGTCAGGTGAAACTCCTTCCTTTCTGTGCCAGGACTCTGTTGGGGAGCCCCTTTACATGCTGTTCCGAGGAATCAAACACCAGGTGGACAAGGGCCCTGTTGACTGGGTGACAGGGAAAGCCAAATATACCCTGAATGACAACCGGCTTCTGAGAGAGGACCTGGAGTACCGGACTCTGGTAAGCACCAAATCTTTTGTCCCCTCTGGGCTCTCTGGTGTGGCAGAGTTTAATGTCCTATTTAAGTCAGAAGCACAATGTCCTGCACAATGTCCTCCTCTTTAAGGCAGAAGCACGACCTCCTAGGAGCCAGCTTTGTCCCAGCAGCATAACTCAGCAGTAGCTGAGCAAGAGCCCTGCTAAATCAGCCCTAGGCTGCTGGGAGCCATCACCACAGTAATCTGATGTATGTTCCATGCTCTGTGCCTAGAAATAAGGGGATGAAATTGCTGATGGTACATGGAAACCTAGAGCTCCCTAGAGCTGTTAAACCGACTTCCAGCTCTCAAGGGAAGGCTGGGAACACGGTGTTTAACAACCTGTGGCATTTTGTTTTCTGAAACTCCTCCAGTGAAAGAGCTAGCTGTTAACGTGCTTTAATGCCAGGCATCAAAGGTGTAAATGTGTCACGTTATGAGTAGCAAACTTATGAGGAGCTGTGACCTTTTCTTTTGTTCCGCAGACTTTAAACGCTTTGACGCAAGCAGGAGTTGCTGCAGGAGGGGCAGAGGACTCCCAAGGGATTTCTGCAAAAGTGCTAGACTGTGACACCATAACACAGGTGAAGGAGAAAATCCTAGACCAGATCTATAAAGGGACACCGTACTGTCACCGACCAGACCCAGACACCCTGGACCTTGGTGAGCAGAATGTCTTGGTGCCAAAACTCAGTGAGGAAGTGGAGGAGAGTGGTCATTTGCTATCTGTGCAATTTTCTGCTGAGCATGCAGTGTCCCTGCCCAGTGATCTTGCACTCTGGCTGGACCCAACAGGGCACGATGCAGGGAAGACTAAAAGCAAGAGGTGTAGGGGTGGGAAAGAAGCAAGTCCAGCCCCTTTGATTTCATGGTGCTTGGTGTTCTTTGCCATCTGGCCCATGGCAATGGCTTGGGTAAGGGGACAGAGGGAAAAGAAAAAAAAAAAAGGCATGGAGAAGGTATGGGAAGGAAAGATAATTTCAGTGAAGAGTTGCTACAGTCATGAACTGGCTCTTCCTGCTGGTGGAGTCAATGGTAGCACCTGAATAGTGTCTGTCAGGGAAGGTTTTGTCCCTTTCCTGGCTTGGAGTTTCACTCATTCAGGCTGAAGCACAGTAGATTTCAGAGATGCTTCTGCTTAACTTGTTTGTTTGTTTGTTATCTGTGTTTTGATGACTGTAGAGTGGAGATCAGGGCTGGCGGGTCATCTCATTCTGTCCGATGAGGATGTGACATCTGTTGTTCAAGGAACTTGGAAACGCCTGAACACTCTTCAGCATTACAAGGTCAGAACTGAGTCTACCATTGCCTTGTCCCCCCTTTCATCTTCTATACGCTGCTACGCTCCGTTTGTGGCTGTGGCTCCTCATGGATTACTGTAAAAACATCAGAGCTTTCTTGCAGCAGCATATTCAAATTAAGTCAGTGCTGTGTCCTGCACCGTGACTTCTCAAGCAGCAAAGCCCCCTCCTGTTCCAGTTCAAATTAGTTAGATCAGTGCAGTATCACCTATCTGTGTAGTTTTTAGGACTGGAAAGAGTTTGGGTTTTTAACTGTCTTGCACCCATGTGTCATATCGTGCACCAGTATGTCACAGCTTGCTGCAACGCGTTCTGGATGTGAATGACACCAATCCCGGGGCATTACCATTCTTATAATGTTCTGTACAGCAGTTTTTCAATCTGTACAAACAAGATTCGCCCACCATCAGGACAGATAGTGACAGTGCCCCGAGATCCCTATTTCTAGCAGTGGTACAGCATGTTCAGTTTGTTTTGCTGTACAAGCACTTGCCTGTGGTGCTGATGAGAGATGTGCTGTTTGTTCTGAATGTTGATTTTTGCTTGTGTGCAGGTGCCTGATGGAGCAACAGTCGCGCTGGTCCCTCGCCTGACCAAGCACATCCATAGAGAGAATCAGGATTACATCCCAGGAGAGAGTGAGTTTGATGTCCCCTTCTTATGAAATGATTTCACAGCACCTGTCAAGTGGGTGGGACAAGACTTGCTGTAGCCCTAGCTTTATGCTATGGAAGACTGATATGTGATTTGAACCCTCGTAGGACTGGAAGTCTGGGCAGGAAAAATGAAGGAAAAGCAATAGAGTACATAAGCAGAGGAAAGGCAGGCTAGACGTGAAAATGCAAAATAAGTAGAATTCTGTAGTACTGGCTGTAGTGCTGGGCACAGTCCACAGCTTGTAGAAATCTTCAGTAATTTTGTGTGTTGAGCATGGCCTGAGGGTGGTGATGGGACCCCAGCCAATTACCTCCCTGCCTTGCATAGCGTACAGCCCCACGGTTACTCCTGTGGTGCAAGGGACAGAAGCCCCAGGTTGCACTTAGCGGCTTTACACTGGATGTGAAAACAATTTCCTTGGCAAAGGGGAGGTGCAGACCTGGAATAGGCCACCACGGGTTGGGGATCTCTGTGTGGGAAGTTTCCAAGACTTTGAAGGCTTTGAGTGGACAAAAGCAACCTGATGCAGCACTAGCAATAGCTGCACAGGAGGCTGGGTGGAGGCCTCCAGTGGTTCCTTCCCATCGAAGTACCCATCATACTGGGAATCTGCTTTCTTCCTTGAGCGTAACCTGGCCAAGTTCCACTGTGAGAGGGCTGACGCTTGTCTCTGAATAGAAACACCAATGCTGGAGGACGCAGATGAAGGTGGGATAAAACTTTGGCACCTGGTAAAACCAACAGAAGAGCCAGAGCTTCCCAAGCATCGCCGTGGGAGCTTAAGAGATCGGGAGCGAGCCAAGGCAATCCCGGAGATCTATCTGACACGTCTGCTCTCTATGAAGGTGAGAAGCACAGATTGCGTTGGGCTTGGGACCTTGCCTTCTTCTATATCCCCCTGACAGATTACAGGGATGTGTATGAAGACTAAGAGCCCCTTTGGGGCTGGGTTGGTGCATGTGCTGGTTGGTTCCAGCTGGGTTCCTCAAGGGACAGCCCCTGCACTTTGCCAGGCAGTGCCTGTGTTCTGCCCCCAAACTTCTCTTGCTGCTGAGCAAACCCCTTCTCCTTGTTCCTGCCTGGCTGAATGCAGCTGCTGGCAGTCAGCAGTCCCCCTCCGCTGGTCAGTCTCTACAGTGCAGTTCCATCCCTTCATGTCGCAGGCTCTCTCTCCTCTGGCCCTAAGTCTGTCTGACTCCCCTCTGTGTTTTGATTGTTAATGAGCTTTCCCCTGGCCTCTCATCCAGAAGCTTCTGGGGCCTCATTTCCCCATTGCTGCTGCTGCTCCTGCAGTGGATGTGAGGTAGCTTGGGACCAGCAAGAGGAAGTCGCTGAGCAGAAGAGGATAACCACTCATCGTGAGTCCTGGGCTCTCCGTGTTCCTCTGGCTGTGCTGACTCTGTCCTGCTTGGTTCTCCACAGGGCACCCTGCAGAAGTTTGTGGATGACTTGTTCCAGGTGATCCTCAGTACCAACCGCCCCGTCCCGCTGGCGGTCAAATACTTCTTTGACCTGCTGGATGAGCAGGCGATGCACTACGGGATTGCAGATCCTGAGACCATCCATATCTGGAAGACAAACAGGTACGGTGCTCTGTGAGCCCCGAGGGAGGCACTGCTAATCTGGTTGGAGCTGCCCCTTGCGGAGAGAGCCACCTTTGTCTGCTGAGGAACAGCAAAGCACAGTGGAAAGCTGGTTTTGCTGAGAGGGTGAAGCTGGGAGGGGACCAGTATGACCAGTAGCATGTGCAGAATACCTTCCAGCACCACTCAGCTGCCTTCTTTGCTGATAAGCTGTCGTGCTTCCATCTTCTCTGCAGCCTGCCCCTGCGGTTCTGGATCAACATCATCAAGAACCCCCAGTTTGTTTTTGATGTGCAGACGTCAGATAACGTCGACGCTGTGCTTCTGGTCATCGCACAGACCTTCATGGACTCCTGTACGATTGCTGACCATAAGCTAGGACGGGTAAGTGTGGAGGTAGAAGCGTGTAGGTAGCACAGGCAGTCTGAGCAGTGCTGACACAAGCAGGCAGTCGTGTCTGCGTGGTTGCACTGGGACAGCCCACCAGGCCCACTCCTTGCTCTGGCATGCCAGGGGTCCCTTCACCAATCCACGGTCCCGCAGGCTGTGTTACTAGGGAGGGATCCAGTATTTCAAGTGCCCTCCATGCACAGGGCAAAAGTTCCCAACCTGAGCAAATAACAGAGAATGGGATAGGGTCACCTGCTAAGGTTAGCTCGCAGCGTGATGAAGGAGCTTTGTGTAATCAATTCTGGTTTTGGATGTTCAAGGACTCTCCAATCAATAAGCTGCTCTATGCCCGGGACATTCCTCGCTACAAGCAAATGGTGGAAAGGTAAGGAACGAGCGGGGGAGTTGTAGTTTAAGCAGTGAGGAGGAGGCTGGGAGGAATGTGAGGGTAACTGCTTGTGTCCCGCTGTAGGTATTATGCGGACATCCGTCAGACCATCTCTGCCAGTGACCAGGAGATGAACTCTGCCCTGGCTGAGCTATCACGGGTAAATAAAGTTATTTATTTCGGAAATCACCCTGGCCCCTCATCAGTGCATCAGATAGAAAGTTAGTAATGCAGAGCTCAGATATTCCAGCTGTGTGCAGAAATACTGATTGCTCCCAGTGGCCGCTCTGCTTCATGGCACCACTGCAAAGAAAAGTGCAGTCAAGGCTTCAGGGCAGGGAGTACGTGTGGTTTTTTTCCTTTGCTAGGAACCACTGGTGAATTCCCTTTCCTGTTGCTTTGTGCTGGGTTTAGTGACTCCGGCACATTTCCTAATGAGTTATGAGGACGTGGAATTTGGAAGAACAATTGTTAGGTGTCTCACAGCTTTATCTGACTTCCTCTCTTATTCAGAATTACTCAGGTGACCTCAATTCCCTGGTGGCTCTGCATGAATTGTACAAATACATCAATAAGTACTATGACCAGGTGAGTGCGTTCCCAGGCAGGTATGAACACGACCTCCTCCTTTTCCTGTCCAATCAAACACACCCCCCCAAAAATTAATAATTAAGAGCAAGCAGATCATTTACAATGCTGTGTATTGTTTCATTGGCATGTATAACTTCCATGTCAGAAGTTTGCTTTACTCTTACTGATGAGGGAGGAGGGATATCACACAAAACAAGGACTTAGCCCTAACCTGGAGGCTGTTGACATTTCAAATACATTTGCTTTTTTTTTTTTTTTTATTTATTGTGGTATCTAAACATTCTACTCTAACTACATTTTAAGTTTTAAGATTCCTTTAATAAAAAAGATAGAATTTTCAGGTACGAAGTTTAGCATTCTTCTTACGCTATGAATTCTACATAGCATGTTAGGACAAATCTAGAACACTTTGTGGTTAAGTTGTACTACAAACACACTTCAGCACGCTGGATTTCAGCGTGGGGCTCTCCACGCTCTGTGCCCTCCCCTGTGCATGGAGCTGAGCCGCTTGGCAGCGCCGTGCGCTGGAGAAGGGCAGGCAGTGAGCTGTGTCTCGTTGCAGATCATCACAGCCTTGGAAGAAGACCCAACAGCACAGAAGATGCAGCTGGGATACAGGCTACAACAGATTGCAGCAGCTGTGGAGAACAAGGTCACGGATTTGTGACAGGCGCAGACAGACTGCTCTCCCCTGGCTGAACAGGGCTGTGCTCGTCCTGGCTGTGTGCAGGGTGCCCTGCTGCCGTTGGAACCAGCCTCTCCAAGGAACCAGCGGGTGACACGCATGGGGATGGCCAAGGCAGTACGAAGTACAAGCGTCCTTGCATCTCAGAGAATATTTTTTTACAGTTTTTTTTTTTTTTTCATTTTTACGAGCAAAAACAAACGAACTTCAGTTTTCCTCTGACGGAGTCTCAGGGGACCACACGGCTCCTTCCTACAGACGTTAGGTGAATGTGCCAAGCTTCCGAGCGGCGCTGCTGAAGAGGCGGGTGGCAGCGCCCAGCACCGTGTCTGCCATCCTGGCCTCGCACGGGTGCCCTTGGGGAGGCTCCCTGGCTGCAGCCGCTCGTCTCACTAGGGATACGGGAAGCTTCCCCTGGCTGACAGCTACACTGACCTCTGTCCCTGTACGGATTAGCGAGCGCTCCTGCAGTACCCCAGCTGAGAAACTTCCTCGCAGCAGTGTTCCTGCTGGTTCTGGATGTTGGGTGTGGAAAGGTCTGATGGCGACGGCCTCCTGCTCCCCGGTGTGTGCGATGCCTGCTGGGATGTCGCGTGCTCACCAGCGGGCGTGCTCGCCCAGGAGCCCCCTGTAAGTGGACACCACCCCCTGGCCCTTCCCTCAGGACAAATTTAGCACGTGAGGAGCCAGCCGCCCAGCTCGCCTTGGTCTCCTCTGACCCAGCTCTGGATCCGTCGTTCCTGGTTCCTTGTGGTCGGGGTCACCCTGCTCTTCTGAAAAGCACAACAAATGCCTTGTGCCACTTCCCCTTCCTCTGGTGTCTCGCTGTTCTGCTGCTCTGAACTGGACTTGTAAATACCCTCAGAAAGATAATGTATTTAAATGCTAAAGGAGAATGTTTAATTTTGTGGCTTTGAGACAAAGCTTTTCTCGGAGAAGCATCTCTGTGCACTTCTACTGACAAACGTCTGTCAGCACTGGAGCGAAGTGTTCTCCACTGCTTTGTCTGCAGGGATAACTCGTAGACGTCTGCATTGTCGTAACAGCAGCTTGCTTTTCCTCACAGCTCGCTTCGAGGCGTAGCTGTGTGCTCTTGCTCTTCTCTTAGGCTCGCCTTATGCCTCAGTTTCACCTCCCGAACTCTCCGGTGGTGGCACACAGAAGGGTTATCTGGGGAGCTGTGAGCTCCAGGAAGCCGAGAAGCACAACCGTGCTGGGTGCTCTGCGAACAGGAGTGCTGCTGCGAGCAAGGAGAGGCCGGAGCAGCGCACACAGTCAGTCCCCAGCCGGCCGGCCAGCCCCTCTGCTCTCTCTTGGAGAGCACTCGGGGCGGTTCTCACCTTGTGGACAGAGCACTCTGCCCTTCTGTGAGTGAATTCCTGTCTGAAAGGTTACCCTACTTCTTCTCATCCCCTGCTGAGCCCAGGCTGATGTCCCGCATGCCTGGGGCAGACCAGCAGGTCTCACTCCTGTCACTCCCTTTAGACAGTGATCGTGCAGGCCAGGAGGGACCAGAGCTAGAACAGGGCACGATCACATCCCTACCTCTCTCTGTTGCGTATCGCAGCAGTTCCAGGCCTGTTGGCTTCATGTGAGTGCTGCGCGGTTGTGAGATTTCCTCTGAGCAATACAACGAGCACGCGTTGGCCTGTCTTCCCACAGACTCCCTGCCACAAAGCCAGCTCCCTGCTGTGGCCATCTCAGCAGCATTCCCAGGTACTCTGTGCCCAGGGTGCAGCCGCCGTCCCTGCGCCACCATCCTGCTATACTGGGTGGCCACTGGGGCAGGAAGGGGAGGCTGGGGTTTGTTTGCCTCTCTTCCACCAGGAGGGCACCGGTTTGGGTCCGTCTCCTGCCTGACCACCCTATTCCATGAACTTTTGGGAGCTTAGCATCTCTGGAATTTCTGTCTCCACTAAATCTGAGGAAATTAGCCCCAAAAAAGCTGGGTGGAGGAAAGGACTGGCAGATAGGAAAAAGCAGATAAAATGCAAGTTCACAAAGCCTGTTCCCTTAGGAACCACGGGAGGCGATTGCTTGGTTCAGGGCAGGATGAAGGAGCGGCAGGCAGCGGTGGTGTAGCGTTGTCCCACTTGGGCACTGACAGTGAACTTGCTGCTCTGGGCAGCAGGGCTGGGTTTGTGGCCTCCAACTCGCTGAGCACCTTCCAGGAGCCGCAGGTGATCTGCTGCACCTAAGGCTCAGCGGGCTGCTCATGTCTGCTCCTAGTTCTGCAGGATTTTCTCTGCTTTCCCAGAGCAGGGCAGCACCAGGCTTGGTTCTGGATCTGCCTCACAGCAGCAAAGGGAGGCTCAGGGGCTCTCCTGGGGTCAGTGCCAGGCATCCCGCTCTCTTCTGCTCGCCCCTGGCAGCTCTCTGGGTCCTGCAGCATCTCCTGCTCCGGTCAGGGTAAAACTACGCAGAGAGCTTTTGGGGGAATCGAGCTCTGCATCCTCTTTGCTTCTCAGTAGCACTCCCAGATGTCAGAGATGATTTACTTTGTGAAAATCTGCTTTCATCAGAGCAATAATCAGGACTTGCAAACAGAGCTAAACATGGGGGATGTGTTCGACATCTCCAGCTCATCTGTGCGTGGCCAGGCAGGAGGCAGCACCTGGTACAGGTACAGTGAGGGCAGGGGACTGGTGCCCACCTCTCCCCATTGAGGCGCCCTCGGTGTCCTCCTTCCCCCAGCCCCTCGTAGGGTGCTCGGGCACGGCCCCCCCTTCTCTCCGTCCATTCTCCGCTCCTGTGGCAAAATCCCTTCCTCCAGCAGGGTTCTGTTGCATGGAGATTTGCACAAAACAGCTTTTTATTGTAAGACTCCCTACTGCAGGGAAGAGTTATTTATTTATTCCTCACAATCCTTCCACATTTCTCCCAGCCTTCGCCCGGCCCCTCCGACGGCAGGGCTGCGAGGGATGGCAGCGCTCCCTTCGCAGTCCCCAAAAGGTGATCTTGAGTGTTTTGTGCTGCGGTCAGAGAAAGAAACTTGCTTCTTCTGTGGTCTGCACGACAGGCTGAGAGCTGATCAGTATTACAGGTTATCTGTTAGTGCGTTGAATGTCTCCTGCTGGCACAGCCACGGGCACGCACACCGCATAGACGTGAGAGCGCTGCTTTCGTCTGCCCAGTGGCACGTTTGGGCTGTACCTGGGAGTTTTTTTTTTACAGAGAAATGATGGTTAGTTTCTTTTTAAAGAAAATAAAAGGGTTCTTGGATCCCGCTGCTTTGGTGGAATGCCATTTATTTTTCAGGGTGTGCCCCAGTCGCAGCGAGACGCTGCTTTTTTGGTGCCTTTCTTGTCAGGACGATGGTTTTGGTTTCCTGAACACCCGGTTTGCTCTCATAGCTCTTCTCCTGGTCCTCTGTCCTGGTGCCTGCCCTCTCCCAGCCGTGTGACGTGGTGTCTGTCTCTGTTACGGTATGGCCTGACCTGCATTTATACCCTGCCACACCTTGAGTTCTGCTCAGAGCACCCGAGGTACTGTCTTTCTCAAATTGGAATTAATAATTAATATAAAAAGCTTGAAAAAAAATCTGAATTTTGTTACATAGTGTAATAACTGTTTGTAGATACTGTTCTGAGATGTAGGAATCTATTGGTGATATAAAAGGTTTTGTCTGTAAATAATCAGTTTAGAGTCCAAATGATTTTAATAAAGAGAATTCTTACACAATAATTCAATAAATTTTAATATACAACCTGCGTGTCCCGCTTGTGTTGCACGGTGACGCAGCTGCCCCCAATGTGCTCACCTTTTGGGGTGTGAGTGGGGGAAATCCCTTGGGGGAATGCCTGGCTGCTTTCCTAGGGTGGGTGGGGGCGATGCTGCCTGAGCTGTGCTCTGTGCTCATCGCTGGTGTCCACCAGGGCGAGGCAGAAACCAGCGCTCCTCAATTAGCTGAACGACTCTTAATTTGTCAGCGAATTGCACAGCTCTTCCCGGCCTCCTATAGCTGGCTTCAGGGCCATATATCCTGCCTCCCCTCTTACTTTATTAGCAGAGATTTAGATAGTCGGCTTCTTTCCAACTTTATTTATATTATATATATAGTCACTGCATTGTAGTCCCTCCTTCACCTATCCATCTGTGTTCTTGCTGACCTTTTAGGGGTTGCAGAGCTCTCTCCCTCGCTGCTGCCCCAGCCCTGGCTCTCAGCACCCAGCCCCGCTGCAGTCTCTGCCCCTGCGCTGGTATTTTTAGTGCCGGGGGCGGCAGGTGAGGGGCACAGGCAGGGGGAGAAGCGAGGCCCTGGCTCCTGGTTTGGCAGCGGGGCAGGATTAACCCCTTGCTCTGGGGCTGCCTCTCTGCAGGCTCAGCCAGGAAACCTGAGCTGCACAGCACAAGGGCCCCAGCTGGGGGACGGCCGGGGCTGCCAAGCTCTGCTGCAGGTGGCCGGGGGGAAATAGCGAAGTGCTTTCGCTGCGGGTGGCCGCTCCTCAGTGCTGCAAGGCTGCTGGGGCGCCCAGCGAGGCTGCTCTGCACCAAATCCTTTCCTTCTGCCGGGGGAAGCTGCTCCTGCACCAAAGCCATCGTGCAGCATCTGTGGAGAGCCATGCTGCCTCGCTGGTGCAGGAGCCGTGTCCTTGTCCCCCCACCTGGAGTGTGCCTGCTGCACCGCGCTGTACCTGGGTGCCCTGGGTGGGCAGTGCCACACGTGGGGGCTCGGGGAGCGTGTTCCCTCTGGGAACCACCAGGCAGCCTCGTGTTTTCCGGGTTCAGGAGCAGAGGGGGAAGACTTTCCCGTTTCCATCTCGGCAGAGCTGTGGATTTCCCTCTATAAATAGTTGCTGTGGAGACCGCGGAGCCGCAGCAGGCTGCTGGACCTGCTGCCAGGGCGGCCGAGGCAGGGGCTGCGCAGACAGGTGCAGCAGTAAAGCAAACCCACCGCAGCTGTCCCGGCTCTCCTGCTGCCCTGCAGCCAAGGTTGTTCCCAGAAACGGTGCTGAGATCCGATACCCTGCCCCGCTCCTCAGCACGTCCAGCCAGCGATGCCGAAGGGCTTGGTCTGCTCAAGGACACCCCTCCCGGGCAGCACAGGCTAAAAGGAAAGCAGCACCAGGTGGGAGCTCACTTTTGGGAGCTCCAGCACGAGCCAGATGACGAGCGGGGTGGCGTGCCCGGCCTCCTGAGCTGCTTCACGGTGAGTCTGAGGGCATTGGGGCTGAGCCCTGCGTGCCCATGGGGCTGCTTTTGTGCTGCGTGTCGCGATTTGCGCTGTGTGTCGCGACTCGTGGGGATGCTGCACTCAGCCAGGGCTGTACTCGTGCAGAAGCTGGAGGGAGTATTGCTGGACTCTGCAGCTTCAGGCACTGTGATGTATGGTGAGCAGCAGGGGCAGCTCCTTGCACCCCTCTCTGCAGGTGGAGCTGTGCAGGCAGAGGTGAGGCACCACCACTCCCTCCCTGCCCGTTGGAGCTACCGCAGAGCAGGTGAGAGCAGCAGGTTTTCAGGCTGAGTTTTCTGACCTGCTCCAGGCCTGCAACAACCCAGCGGGTTCTGCATGATGCAGCTCTTAATGACAAAAGCAAAACTCCTATTAACATAAAAATCCATCCAGGGGAGATGCTGCTGAGCTCTCATCCCCGCATGTTCTTGAATTATTCCTTTGGTAGGTGGATGCTGAGTGACATAAGAAATAAAATCTTTAGGGCTGTTGCCCAGCTCTCAGACCGATGTGCACTGTCCTAATGATGTGCCAAAACCTTGGAAGATGCGAATTGAGAGGTCTTGGGTGTACCTGGTGGTGCAGGGGCGTGCAGGGTTACTGCTAGGCTGTCTGTGCACAGGTGAGGACAGTTCTGGCCTCACCTCTGTTGCACAGCTCGAACTCTGGTAAATATTTGACAAAGTGGCTATGCGGACATGCGGTATCCTGCAGATTTGTGCCTAAAGGAGGCTGACTCAGAGCACGTGTAAATGCTGAATCTGAGGTGTAATGGAGCTGGAGGCATTCTGAGTCCCTTGCACACCACTCCATGGGCGAGGGTAAATGGAGCAGTATCAGCTCTGGAAGTTCTGGGTATCCCTGACCACACGAGCAGCCTTCAGCCCAGTCTGAGCCTTAATTAGAAATGTGCTGGGAGCTCGCTTGGTGCCCAAAGGCAGGCAATGGCTCCGTTGCTGTACTGGGATAGGGTTGTCAGTGTATGGAAAGAAATTCTAGGCTTTTGAGGAAGTCGTGCTTCTGTTCCAGCACCTGGAAGATGTTACTGTCCCGGGGCAGCTCCCAGTCATGTGGCTGCTGCCATGAGGCGTGTGACAGGGCACGCACCATCATTGCCAGCCCATTGGGCCTGTTTCTGAAATTCCTCCGGTGCAGACAAGCTCTGAGTTTGGCAACCTGATTCTGAAGGATTTAAAGGTCGATATTTCTACCCCTGCTAATGGCCTACTTGGGTTATTATCACCTGTCACAAGCTCTGGCAACGCGAGTTCATGTGAAGCTTACAGCAAGTGACATTTCCGAATTATGGAACGCTGGGTTGGGAGCACCCAGCCCGTGGCAGTGTAAATCCACATTTCCATTAGCAACGTGGGGCTGGGGGGTGCTATTTCAGGTGACCAGTGCTGAAGCCAATTCCACACCGGTGCTGCGGGGCTGGGGGAGCAGCAGTTGCATCTGTCTGTCTGCGCTGCCTGTGTTTGTACCTTCTGCTGCCATAGAAACACGCCGGGGAACAGCCTCTCCCCTCCGCTATGGCCTCTCTGTAGGGGGTCACGGGATGGTCAGTGATAAAGCCCTGCTCTGGCCCCAGGCTGCAGACAGATGTGCAGGGCAGCATTTGAAACACAGGCTCTGCTTAGCACCTACCTGGGATGCGAAGCTCCTCCTGCAAGTGAAAGCCCCGAGATGGGGTGCATATGGAGGCTGGCCTTCTGCACAGGCCGGTGTCACAGCCACGGAGGGGCCCCATGGTCCCCCTGAGCCACTGGGAATCCACGCGGGGCACAGGGAACCCTTAGATTCCCACCTGAGAGGCAGGAGTCCAGCCCCAGCCCATCAGCTTTCCTCCCCTGAACTCCTAAAATAATCCTAAAATAATCCCTACCTCGCTGAGGTGCCCAAAATGTTCCCAACAGCCCAGTTCCAGGTTTGGATCAAGCAGAAATGGGGAGCAGGGATAGAAGAGCAAACGGGAGCTGTGCAGATCAACGTGTGCAGCTGCCTGGTCTCTAACTCTCTTTAAAGGACTAACCTGCAAGACACTGCACCACTGGTTCTGTCCCCTCTTGCCAGGACCTGCAGGAACACCGCCATGGAGGTGCGGGTGCAGGAGGAGGAGCCAGCAGCACAGCGCTCAGGTCAGTCCTCACACCGCAGCCATCGTGCCGGGGTCTTCACGGGTCACAGGGACCCGTCCGTCCGTCTGTCCCTCTGGGAGGACGCTGTCCTCAGCTGCCCTGTCAGTCTGAGGGTGGTTAAGGCCATCAGTAACGGCTCCTGGCCACGCTCCCCACAGGAGGCCACCACCCGGTGCGGGAAGGAGAGGTGTTCAACACGCGATACCAGGCTCTGCGCGAGCTGGGCTGCGGGGCCTTTGCCACCGTCTGGCTGTGCCAGGACACGAGGTGAGGGGCTGGCCGCCACCTGGGGAGGGACGGCCACTCTCCTGGGCAGGGCTTGTCCCTTTCACAGGCCACCTTGGCGTGCACTGGCTTACAGACATGGTTCGTTTTGTAGGAAGAAGAAGAATGTAGCTGTGAAGGTCCTGAAGAGCAGGGAGGGCTTTGCTGAGGCTGCCCAGGACGAGGTCTCTCTCCTCCGATGCGTATGTAAAATTCACAGGCTGTGTGCTTTGCTGCTGAGTTCAGAGAATCAGCCTCACCATCCCTTCTTCCAGGTCTCAGCCTGAGGAGCTGGGCTGGGGAATGGAAAAAGACATTAGATAATTTATTAGGTCACATTGACTCTGAAACAGGCACCTTCCTCTTCCTCCTGCTAGGACAGGTGGCTGCGTCTCACCCTGCCGGCCCATTTCTTTCAGCTGAAACCAAAATCCAGTAAATAGCAGGAACCCAGAGAAATACAGGGTGGAAAAAACAACACACAGAGAAAAGTGGTAATGTTGTTTTTAAGCAGCGATGAGAATGTTTCTGCCCTATTTGTGTTCTTCCCAGCTCAGAGGGCATTGCTTTATCACAACACAAATACTGAAGTAAAAGGAAATATCCAGGAAAAAAATGCAGGATGCAGCAAACATATAATAAACCTCTCGACTCAGAAAGCTTCCTTCTGCCTTTGCTAATGGATGTAGTAATTAGGTGCATGCATCTGAGTCCCAGCTAGTTGCCTTTGAAGATGGCTTGACCTGCTAGTTCTAGAAAGCTCGTTACAATTCTTGGAGTTTACCTAAATACGAAGTTACATCAGCTTTATGTGAACAGAAGCTATTACATTTTGCCTTTCAAATTACTCCGAGGCCTTTCTCCATCAGGTTTTGAAAAGGTTTGTTGTGTACCTGTAAATCTGCAGGCCCTCTCCAAAGGGATATGAGCCAGACTCGGTGATGCAAGAGGAAGTACAAAGTGGCACTAATTGAATGTAATCAAAGGGGTGCTTTTCTACACATCAGCACAATATTGTTCATAGACCAAGCCTTACCCTTAATTTCTTATTGCTTCTCTCCGAACGACACGCCTTCCATTCAGCAGGACGTAGCTGTTCCCAGGGCCACTTCCACCAGCACAGGGTCTGTGCCCGCAGCACTGCCAGAAGAGGCGGCCCGGTCCCCACGGCTTCCACGCACCTCCTGGTGCTGCTGCAGATCTGGCAGCTGCACAAAAACCAACCCCAAATCGCCCATGGTTACAGCTGTGTCAAAAAGAAAAAATGAATATATTTCTATCTGAATTCATCGTATGTTTGTATTTTATATATATACGCACAGAGTATTTGTTGCTGTGGCCAGATCAGCGCTCTGTGGCAGCAGCCTCATGCGGCAGCGTGCCCTGCTTTCCTGTGAGCCCATGTGGGCTTCAGCACCCAGAGCGCCCTGTGACAAGAGCTGCCACCAACTAGCTGTGTGAAGAAACATCTCCTCTGGCTTGTTTCTGACCCTCCCAAGTACTAGGTTTATGTAATGTCTCCTGGTTACAAAAGATGTGTTCACCCCTTCGCCCAACACTCAGTATCAGAGATCTCGGCTGCACTTGCCCATAGCCAACCCTTTTTTGGCCCAAAGAGGCCACTGCAGCGGGCTGTTCCAGATGTGGAAGCTGCTCTGCACCCTAGCCTTCAGCTGACCAACAACAGTTTGAATTATTCAGATGCTGAGAGGGTGCTGCTCCTACCTGGTCCAGGGGAAGATGACGTACAGAAATTTGTTCTCTGGTAACAGACCCTGCTTGTGTGCTTGGAGCCTGGTTTGTTTGAAGCTTTCATGGGGTTTCTCATGAAGTGTCAACCCCTTGAAGAGAGAGGCTGTAGAACAGGACAAAATGGGTGCAAGGCGTCCTTGTGTATGTATATGTCTCTAATTGCAGCTTTCTTGAAATCCTCCCCCTCAGGTGAGCAGCATGAGGAAGAAGGACCGGGCAGGAGAAAACATCGTCTGTTTGTTAGATGACTTCAGAATGATCGGAGAGAACGGCCTCCATATCCTTCTGCTGGGAGTGATGCTGGGTCAGCAAAGCTTGGGCTTGCGCTGGGGAGCCACAGGATGCTGTAAAACCAGGGCGCATGAAGGTGGTGGAGGGGGGAGGTTGGCTGGGGAGATATTTGGCTGCCCTGCTGAGGGATAAAAGGCTGGTAGTGGCACCTCCTCTCTGTTGGTGAATCCATGACTCTCTCCCACATACGTGCTTGGTATTTGAGGCCCTGGGTCCTTCCCTGCGATGCCTGATGTGTAACTATGCAGCCCACGGATTGCCTTTGCCTTTCGTGAAAAAATCTTTACAGCAGGTGAGAGCTGGACTCTAACTGGGTGAGGGCACCACGGCAGTGTTGGCAACAAGTCACAGCTTTCATCCTGGGGTCATCTGCCACGATCTCTCCTATGACTGCACCTGCAAAGAAAGGGACAACACAGAGTCAGTGCCCAAGGCACACAATTTAAAGGCAAACAGGAGCTATTTCTTTTGGGCCTGAGGAGAGAAAACGTTAAATAAAATGCAGACTGGGAAGTCACCACAATCTCATTAATACAGGGCAGTGTGCATTTCTGCCCGTGCCTGCTGTCTCACCGGGTGTGGAAAGGGGTCAGGAGCAGTGATGTGAAGAGTCAGGAATCTGCAGACCCGCACCAGGGAACAGAGGGATGGCAATTCGTTGAATTTTCTAGCAGTTCAGCTGCTCGCAGGAGTAGCAGGGGACAAACAGCCTGCCATGGATATGTTTCTTGTTGACAAACCGTGTTATTTCTCTGTCCTCCTGCTACTCTGAGAAGTCCTCTCTGCTCTGCTGCCAGACTGACAGCACTCAGGTCCGGCAGGGCTCAGGGCTGCCCTCGGCTGTCTGCACGGTAATGTCTGAGGCTGCAGGAGGTCTGCCTTGTCACTGATTCCTTCCCAGGGCTTTCCAAATTGCTGGTGCAGTTTGCTCAGAGCCTACACTTCCTTCATCCCCTGTAAGGATGTGGCATGCTGATCAAACAGGCTGTGCGAGCTGAGTTTCTTATGTGTTGTCTGTGTAGCTAAAGATTGGGAAACCTGAGTGAGGTCTAAGACAAGTTAACATCACATTTTGCCTCCAATGCTGAGATTTATCAGAAGTTTGCAGACTTGCCAAGATGAAGATTTGCTACCTTGATTCCTGTGCCCCTCTAGGGACACCAAGAAAGAAAACCACTTCTTCCTCCATCCTTTTTTCTGAAATATCTGCTTCTTTCTCTAAAGAGGCTCCGCTAACACCTGAATAAGTTATATGGAAACGTAGTGGTGTTAATTGATGTGCTCCTTTCGGCACCCAAGCCTTTTGCTTGATCCACTCCCTTATCTACATAAATAGTAAAATCTCACAATCTTTTTTCTTTTCTTTTTTTTTTTTTTCCCCTTCAGATAAGTACTGGGGCAGTATTTGCTTCTGATTCACTCCGGTTTAGCTATTTAAATCTTCCCCTGTGTTTCACAGTTACCATTTAAGGTTGGTATTTCCCCGGGGCTGGTGTTCATCCCAGAATAGATTTTGATAATACAGAGAAGATTTGCCAGCCCTTTATGACTGACCGGAGTGTTTAGAAAAAGGCAACAAAGCTCCCCAGTAGCCTTTTCGCTGTTATTGACTTCTGATAGCGAGTGTTTCTCTTGAACGCCTTGTTTCTCTCCCCCTGTGACGGCCAGGCTCTCCCTGCTCTGCCGTGAGCTGTTCTTTCCCTACATGGCTCTCCTGCAGCACCCTTAATTCCTCTCTGCACTCACTCACTCGTCATCTCTCCCTCCTCCTGTCCGGGTTATGATTCACCTCCTTCTCTTTCCCTGCTCGATGGGACTCCCTCCTGGGCCACGTCAAACTCCCTACAACCAACTCCCAGCTTACATTCCGACGATGATGCTGTGTTAACAGATTGGCACGGCGGGCCAAGGACTTAAGAAGCCACATAAACACAAGTGGCTTCTCAGGAGAAAATTCTGCTTTGGAGTTGCAAGGCCTCCTCTGTCCTGTTTCCAGCTCTCCGGGCTCGCCCATCGTGCTGGCACTTGGGGACTCTCCGGATGGGTCCCCAAACTCCCTGTGCCAAGCATGCACGGCCACCCAGCTGCACCCTTTTTAGGTTCATGCAGGGTGCTTGTACATCCCCATCTCCCTCCATCGTGCTGCTAACCTGAGGTGCTGTGTGGCTCCCGCAGGTGCTGGCAGGGCTGCACTTCCTGCACAGGCGCTGCCGGATCATCCACGCAGACATCAAGCCCGAGAACGTGCTGCTGTGCGTCCGGGATAAAGGGCTCCAAAGGCTGCTGTGCGATGCGACCGACTGTGGGCAGAGAACGGATTTGAGGTTAAAGGCAACAGGTGAGCTCTGGAGGTTTTCTACAAGAAAAGAGGCTGAAGAAGGTGCTGTCAGGAGTGAAATGGAGAGGTGGGTGCAGTTCACAGCGCCTGCAACACCGGTACAGAACAGCACAGGCAGCTGAAAGGGCTGAGAGGCCTCTCCTATCTTTGCTTACTACAAACCTCAGACCAAGTGGCTCCAAGTTACTCAAGGCACCCACAGGGAAGTGGTCTTGCCAGTAGGTGTGCGTGGGGAACGCCGACAAATCACAGGTGCTCATCAATAACCTCGCCACAACGCCAGAGCTGATTCTGTCAGAACGGGAACGTCCCCTCCTCTGGTATTTCCAGCCACAGCACGGATTGGTCTGATCAGAAAGCTGGCTGACACATCTCCTCTTTATTTCCCATATCCCTGAGGCCTGTGGGAGACTTGTATACAGTCTAATCTTTGAAGCCTTCTGAAACATGATTTATTTTCAGAGAACGGAGCGAATATAGAATAAAACACAGGGCTGGAGAGTTTCTCAGGAGATCTAGTCTCCCAGCAATGAGCCCCTTTGTATTTTCTCCCACAATGTTCTCCCATGAGCATTTCTCCCATGATGTTGTCGTTTTGTCCCTCAAACCCTGGGGCAATCAGGGAATGCCAAATTACTGAGAGAGTCTCTTGCTTGGAGCAGAAAGGCACAATGTTAGCTGCAGGCTGACAGCTCAGAGTAGAGCAGTAAAACAAAAATTACCCTTTTCCAGAGTCTTGTGAAAATGTCACCATCACGGTGCCTGCTGAGCAGGCACCCTGCAGCAGGAGAGGTGCACGTGGTCCCACGACTCCTCTGAAAGCTGCTGTCCTCCCTAACATCCTCTTAGACTTTGACTGGATACCAGCCCTTTGTGTTTCCTCAGGAATGAGAGGTGGCATTTTATTGGTGATAAAAAAAAGAGCCATCTGCCTAAAGCATTTTGGGACCTTTGAGGTTGAAAAACTTCAAAACTTCACACATGAATCTTCCACGGTAAATGATACATAGCTGTTGTTTTGGAGAAAGACCTGTTTTCTCACTGTCCTTTCTACGTAGGAGGTGATCCTGGCAATCAGCTGGAAGTTTCTGATTTAATGAGCATAGAAGTGAAAATTGCAGATCTGGGCAGCGCGTGCTGGACGGTGAGTCTGCTCCAAGTCCCGGTCCCGTGCCAGCGCAGGATGCTTTGCACTTCTTTCCGTCACGCTTTGTGTGTCAGTCCTTCCACAGCTGAGCAGCAGCTTCAGAGCGTGCTTTAGTGATGCTGATTCCAGTGGGTGTTTTATTCAGCACTCCCAGCTCCCAGCTGGGTGCTGCACTCCTGGAGACATCAGCTTTGGATCTTTCTTCAGCTTGCAGTTAGTCCGTATGACCACAAATTCAAATGCTGGGAGGTAACCTTACAGCAGTGTGTGGGGCCGAGAACGGGTCTGATGTTTCCCGCACACATTTTAGTGCACACATCCAGCTCTGCCCCCGAGATCCTCAGTGCTGCACGGACAGCTTGTGACCACAAGCATCGCTGTTACTCATGCATGGCTGCTAACCAAAGGGCGTTTGTTTCTATTTCAGTACAAGCCTTTTTCCAAGGAGATTCAGACGCAGCCGTACCGCGCCCTGGAAGTGCTGCTTGGGTTAGACTACGGCACCCCCGCGGACATCTGGAGCACGGGCTGCCTGGTAGGGCTGCAGGCAACGCGTGCGTGCATGGCAGCCGACTGACACTGCCAGGCCAGGGGCAGCATGTCCTCAGCGCCCACCTCTGTGCTGCATGTGGAGCACGACTTCCTTGCCGTGGCTGAGTCAGAGAAGGAAAAACAGGCTGTCTGCACTCCTTCACTTTGGACTGAAAGTATGCTGCTGATATAATTCACTATAATTAGTTTACGCTTTAGGCAATTCGCACTCCATGTATGTTAGCTCAGAGACTTGACTGGATCAGGCACAAACTGGTTTCTTTCCATCCTGACGGAGCTCAAGGAGCTGTTTCACAATGGCACAGGATAGATCAAAGCAGAGGGAGCCCTTCCGTGTATCAGTTCTGTGTGATAGGAAGGGAAATTGGCACCCGTACTGTCAGAGTGAACAAGGAAGAAAAACTCCCCGTCAGTCAGAGAATTAACAAGGCTACTCCATTCCTAGGCATTTGAAATGGCAACGGGGGAGTGTCTGTTTGATCCTCAGCCCGGGAAATATTTCTCCAGAGATGATGGTAGGACCCCATCAGTATTAATTTCACTGACAGAGGTGTCTCAATCTTTGTATCTAGGTGTGTGTGTTTTTTGTTTGTTTTGTGGTTTTTTTTTTCTTCTCCCTCCCTCCAGACCATGTTGCTCGCATTATCGAACTCCTGGGAAGAATTCCTCCCCGCATTGCTTTCTCCTGGAACAAGTCAACAAAGTTTTTCAGCAGGCCAGGTAAGAATCGGAGTAGGGAAGTTTACTCTAAAAATCACTGGGGATCTCTGGCACGCTCCTACTCAGCTCGCGCTGAAAACCACCTGAAGTGATGTTACACAACGCAGGCTACAAGCAGGGACAGAAAACTGAGGTGGAGATTTCATAAAGTGCAGTAACACTTCCTGCCCTGCCACCTCTGCAATCCAGGAGCGTTCCAGCAATGAATGCAAATGCAAAAGCCTCAAAAATGGTCGTGGCAAATGCCCAACAGGGAAAAGATTTTCACCCTTCCTCCTTTGGAGCTGGAGAGCATGGAAATGAGGACAGGAAATAGCTACATGGCAGGAAAGCTGAAAGGAGTGCGTAACCGGCTGCACTTCACCCATTCACTGGCAGAGAACAATGATGATGATGAGGATTGGGACACTCATATCCTTCCATCCTTCCACCATGGCTGCTATATTTAGCCTTCTGCCCTAGCTGTAACGTCTTTTCTGTTTTAATCTCTCCAATTCCTTTCCCTTTGACTCATTCAGCTTGAAATCCTTGTCTTTTGACTTCAAGGCATTGCATGACTCCATCCTCCTGCAATTTAGCCTGTCCTCCTCCTCATGCTCACCAGCCATACAGCCTGCCTACCTACACCTCGTTCTGTGCTGCACACTAGTGCCAGGCTGCAGCTTCACCACACACCTCCCTGCTCGTTCAGATCCCCTGTTCACGTTTACTCCTTCTGTGGTGCTCAAAATAGGTGAATCAAAACCAGCCCTTGTTTTATATGCTCTCTCCGTGAGAACCCTGCTGGCCTAACCACACATGCCTAACCTGAGTCACCTGCATTTACACCACACGCTCGCGGGGACGAGGATGGCTTCTTGGTCAGCAGTGGCACTCTCCTGGGCCTCACGGGGCCAGCGGGCACACAAGCAAATTAAACGTTAGTGTCTTGTGACTGTGGCACTGCAGCCAGCTGATGTGTGCAGGGTTGGGCAGGCACAGGGACTGCGCAGGGCCGTGCCATGGCTGTTCCTGGAACATTTCTCACTCCTGGTGCGTTCTCAGCTAATTACTCGAGAAGGGGGGAAGCCCCAGGCGCTAGCTGGGGCAGATGATGTCTGAGAAACACCTGCGAGCCAGGTTTGCCGGCGGATGAGGCTTAGGCAGGCAGGTTAGCGCAGAAGGGAGGGCTGCTTCGGCTGAGGTGCGTGAGGCGCAGAGCTGCAGCCCGCTCCTCTGGCGAAGCGCAATTAGGGCTCTGTGCTCGTCATATCTCCGTGCTCCGTGTATCTCCGTGCTCCTCACGTCTCCGCGCTCCTCATGTCCCCCCCAGGCGCTCTCCTGCGGATCTCCCGGCTCTCCCCGTGCAGCCTGCAGGCCGTGCTGGTGGACAGGTACCGCTGGCGAAGGCAGGAGGCCGCCCCCTTGGCCAGCTTCCTCCTGGCAGCGCTGCGCTACGCCCCGGAGCACCGCGCCACGGCCGCGCAGTGCCTGCAGCACGCCTGGCTCCACAACCCGTGAGCGGCCCCGGTTCCCCCCTCACATCCCCGGTAACCCCCTCCCGGGGGCCGCCCTGCCTCACCTGAAGCGCTGGGGGCCGGGAGCCCCCTGAGGCGCCGCGCACAAGATGGCGGCGGGCGGGCGGCGGGGCCCTCCCGCGGCCATTTCGTGCCCCGGGGGTGTGAGGGGGGGGGGGGTGAGGGGGGCACCGGGAGGCGCCCGGCGGGGTTGGGAGAGTCGTGTACAAAGCTAAAAGGTGCAAAAAGGGATTAAAGGCGGCCGTGCTCGCGTCCCACACGCATCGCTCCTTCAGCCCGCAGCCTGAGGGGGGGGTTATCGATGACAAATCGGGTAACGGGCAGCGGGCGGGCCCCGCCGCCTCCCTGAGGGGCCTCAGCGCTTTGTGCTGCCCTCCTCGCCCTCAGCACGGCCGCTGCGGGGGCTCCGTGTGGCGGCGGCCGCCCCCCTGAGGCCCGCGGCCGGGGGCGGGCCCTCCCCTGACAGGACCCCGCCGCCCCCTCCCCCCCCCCGCGGCGCGGACGTGCCGAGCGGCAGGCCCCGCGCCCGCCGCACTGCGCATGCGCTCCCCCTGCCAGCGCCTCCTCTCCTCCTCCTCCCCCCTCCCTTCCCCTCACAGCCGGGCCGCGCATGCGCGGTGCGGCCGCGCAGGAATCCCGCCCCTCGGCGCTGCCACGTGTCCCGACGCGGGAGTCACCGCGGGCCCCGCCCCCCCCCGCACGTAGCGCGCCTCGGCCGCCAGGCACCGCCGCCTCGCCGCCCCCTCAGCAGGCCGCCCCGCTGGATTGGCAGCTGGGCGAGCCAATCAACTCTCCTCCCTTTTCCGAGCGGGCGGGCGCCGCCCAATGAGCATCCAGAAGGGGAGAGGGGAAGCCAATGGGAAGCGCCGAGGGGCGGGGCGAGGCGGCCGACGGGGGAGCGGGAGTGGGCGGGGCCGGGGCGCCCCTGGCGCCGGCGCCGGGGATCCCCGTGCGCCCAGAGCCGTTTCCGCCCGGCGCGGGGTGAGGCCGCCGCCGCCGCCGCTGCGGGGGGAGGGGCCGCAGCTCAGGGCTCGCCGCCGCCGCCGGTTGCCCGGGAAACGCCGCGGCGCTCAGCCCGGGCCTAGTGCCGCGCGGGGGGCCCGGGGAACGGGCCGGCCAGGTAGGAGCGGCAGGGAGGCGGCGGGAGGCAGCGGGGCCGTGCCCGGTGCTGGAGAAGAGGGGGGGGTAGGGGGGGTTACCGGGAACCGGGGGGGGGGCTCCCGGTGTTGCCCCGCCTCAGGGCCCGGTGCAGGCGCGGCGGGAGGCCCGGGCCGGGCCATCATGGCGGGCACGGGGCTGCGCGGCGGGGCTCGGGGCTGCGGAGCGAGGCCTCACCGGGGGGGGGTGTGGGGTGTGTGTGAAGGGGGGGGGGGCCCTCCGCAGGCCTTCCTCCTGTCCCTCCTCTTCCTCATCATCATCATCCTCATCCTCGTCTTCCTCCCCGCCGTGCGGCCCGGGGCAGCCCCGCCGGTACCGCCGCCGGTGGGAGGAGGGGAAGGAGGGAGAGAGAGAGAGGGAGGGAGGGAAACGGTGAGGCGGGGAGTGGGGGCGGGTTGAGGGGGGGGGAGGCGCGTGCCCGGCATTTTCTGCTTGCTCATGGTGCCGGGGGCTGCGGGAGGGGGCTGCGGCCGGGCGGCACCGAGCAAGGTCACCGCCACCGGGGGCACCGGGGGCACCGGGGGGGGGTGGGGAAAGAACCGGGGGAGGCAGTGCTGCGGTGTGTGTGTCCTCCCCCCCTTCCTCCTCTGGGCGAGGTGCGAGGCCTCGCAGCCCACCCCAGCCCTCTCTGGGCTTTATTGAAGGTTTTATTTTTTCTGGGGGTGCTGCCCCCATAAAGGGTGTGGGGCTGCAGCACCCCCCAAGCCCCCCTGCAGCCCCCCAGCATTATATAATGGGGGTGGGCAGGGGGTGCCCTGGCTTTTTGTCACGGCTGGGTGCCCCCCGGTGTGCCCATACCCGTCATATCCCCCCCCACACCCCATATAGGAGGGCTGTTACCCCATAAGGCACAGCCCCAACACCTTGATCCCATTTCCCTTTCCCTCAGCAGCAATGGGAGATTTCCCTTCCTTCACTCGCATAGGAAACGCAGGGATTTTTTTTCCCCTTTTTTTTATATATATATATATATTATTTTTTCCTTGCGGTTGACCCAGGAAGTCATCTCGCCGCCGAGGTGCGGGGAGGAGGGCGTCTGCTTGGCTCTGGATCCTGTGGGGACGCGGGGAAGGTGGTGACAGCAGCTGCTGCTGCGGGCTCTGGAGCTGCGGTTGCTATGAGAGGAGCTCCAGGAGGTTTGGCTGAGCTCTCCAGGGGAGCCCAGCCGAGCGGCCTCCATTAGCCTGCTGCTGAGGAGATGGCTGGCTAAAAGGGAAAGCCCTTTTTAAGAGGTTTTGATTTTTGGGGGCCGTTTCCCAGGCCCCGAGCAGAGCCTGGTCTCTTTTGGTCCCGCCTGACGAACCCGCTGGGTTGGGTTTCGGCCTCGTTGGGCGCTTTGTGGGATCGTGCTCGGGGCTGGGAAGCCGGGGTTACCCTCCGCAGATATTTTGGGCTGTGTGGAAAGTAGGCCAGGGAGAATCGCTGGGATCTTCCTGCTGACTGCAGGCTGCAGCCGTGTCTCTCCTCAACTCCAGCCTCCTTCCCGGCCAGTAACGGAGCCAGATGCTTTCCTTATTGTTTGTGTGTCTCCTTCCTCCCCTTCCACCGGCTGGGCCCCACTTGCCTTATTGACTGGAATTTCTGCTGCGTGCGGTGGGTGTGTGCGGCAGACAGCAGCCCGCTAGTGCTGAGGAGGGATTTTCCATTCACAGACCGGGGAGCAGTCAAAATAATGGCCCGGCTCAACTCGGGGGCTGGAAGCAGACCGCGGGCAGAGTTTCCCTCCTGCAGTTTACCCTCGGCTGCTCGTGCAGCCCCGTGGCAAAGCGTGCGGCGGCGGCGAAACGTCCCGCGGCCGTGGGGAAGGTTCCTGGCTTCGGGTTGAGGCTCGAGGAAGGAACAGTTTGCAGGAGGCCATTTTTGACGTGACTGTGTGTTGGGGAATCTGCCAGCTCCCATCCGCGCTCTGTCTGCTGGAGCGTAATAGCTTCCCTCTGAATTTTTTATTAATTTTTATTTTTTTGGAAGGAAGAGCGAGCGCCTTTCTTACCTCCTTTCCTAAGCTTTGGTCCCCGGCCGCTGTCTGTGTGCTGGGTGCTGCTGGCAGGGAGCTCTCCGCCTGCTTGGTAGGGCTGACACGGGTCGAGGTATGCGGTGTGCGAGGGGGCTGCGGTGGCAGCAGAGAACAACTGCCATCTTTGTGAGCTCGCCCCTCTGCCGGGCAGCCCCTCTCCCCGCCTTTCCCTGCCATGGGCTTTTGGGCTGCCCATTGCTGAGCCCCTGAAGCAAATTCCAGGAGCAGGATAACGAGAGAAATGATTAAAATCCGCTCTGGCAGCAGATGCAGAACTCTGAGTAGCATTTCCAGGTGAGGCTCCAGCACCCAGCCGGCCTCATGAAGTAGGGGAAAAACTCATAACCCTCCTAAAAACGCACCCAGCGCTGGGGCAGAACATGCTGTGAGGGCATCAAAACCCAGCTCGCCACCTCTGGTGCCCCTTAGCCTTTGTTTACAGCCTCCCCGTCCGCTCTAATGGGGAATTAATCTGCTGCCCTGCATCCTGTTGAATAACTGACACTGCTCTGGCAAGGCCCTGCTTTTAGTGTCATCTCCTCAGTGAGCCCAAAGCGATATTCCTTAGCTGGTGTTGCCTCAGATCATAGCCCACGGTGGGGTGGTGAAATCCCACATACGTTTAAAGCCCTTTTTAGAAAGAGCACTCGGTTACAGCCACATCTTATTTTGAGAAGTAATAGGGCAAAGTTGAAAAATGCCATAGGAAAGAGGTGGCGTTGAATCAGCATCCTGGCGCTCTCAGAAGCTTGTACTCTCTTTGGGGGCAAAAAATGGAAAAACAAAGCAGCGCTTCATTGAGGTTTTCCAAATGCTTCATGAAACAAAAGAGTTCTAATTCAGGCTTTCAGGTGCAAAGCATATGAGGGAGGCCTGAGTGTGTGGTGCCCCGGACACGCAGTGCAGTGGCCTGTGCCGCCTTTCATTTTGGGCAGCCAGACTTTTTCCAGCTTGTTTTGAATGATGTGACGAGATAAAAATGTTTCGGTCTACTCTGGCAGTGGTAGGACAAACCCGATGGGTGCTCGGAGTTTTGGAAATTCAGAGATCATTGTTCTCATGGCGGTGTGACTGCACTGCAAACACATGTGTGTGTTCTCTGGTGCTGCTTTTGTGCGTAATTAAGAAGTTTTACCAGTGAAAATTCATATTATGTTGAGTACGTAAGGAAGGTTGTAGTAGGCATTGGGTTTTCACACAAGAAGTAGTAGCGGTGCTTTAGTTGAAAGCATGAAATGTATGCTTAAATATCTGGTGTGTCAGACGCTAGATCTCAGTTGACCATATGAAACTTCAGCCATTTGTTTATTTTAAAATAAATCCCTCATGGCGTTATACTTGTCTCTTTAGCTTTTTTCTCTTTCGAATTTAACAAAACCAGCCGTGTATGTTCAAGTTGTTAGACATTCAAGGCAGGCTTTGGCTTACATGACTGGTGGCAAGAGTTAGTGCGTGGTAAGTTTGAACTCCCACAAAACTCTACCTTAAAAATGTCAGTCTGGCTTCACCCAAACCTTTTGCTGATTTTCATCCCGAAAAAAGCCCCAGCCCGTCACGCAGCAAGAGCCCAACATCTTGGGGCTGTGGGAGCTGAGCTCCTTTCGCTTTTCCTCTTCCCTTAATTCCTTGCTGAAGTTGCTTGGGGTTTCTTGGTGGTGTTTTTTTTTTTATTATTTTTTTTACAGGACTTGCTATTTTGGTGGCAATTTTCCAATATTCCTGCAGCAAATCATCCGCGCGGCGGCCCCTGTCCCTGCTGAGCGGGGGGAATGCGCGGCGCTCCCGGCCTCCCCGCTGCGCGCACCGAGGGGTGGGACTTGCCGGGCTGCTGAAATTGCAGCGAGTCCCACCGAGCACGCTGGGAAGCACTTTTCTTCTCGACTTGGAGTTTAATTTTTGGCTTTCTATAATTAGCAAAGATGCTCTTTGTCTTGGAGGGGGAGCTCCACGGCA